TGATTTGGGTGGCACATGATATTGCATGCTTTCTTCTTAGGGAACTAACTGCACAGATTTCTGCTACTCTATTTGAATTTTCCTTCATTGTCCCACAAGCAATAAAGAGACGACATGAGGTTGTACCAGTTATTATTATATTTGCATTCTGGGTGCAGTGGGCCAAATATTTCTCTGGAAGACTTGCTCACCCTTGTGGGATGTGAGAAATAACATAAGAACAAGAGCAAGCAAGTTATGATAGTTGGGCTATTTGTTCATTGTTACTACTATATTCCCAATCCTTAGACCAGCATTTAATTGGTATCTGCTTTTCCAGGGCTGGTGGCACATGTCCATAATCCCAGCATTTTGGAGGAAGAGATAGGAAGAGTGTGGGATGTTGAAACCAACCAGATCTGAACAGTGAGTTCCAGCCACGGTCACATAGGGATACCTAGTCTCAAAGTGAATAAATAAATAAGTAAAAATAAAAAGGCTGAGTGAATGCAAGGAAACTATAAAACAAAGATGACCGGAAGCGTGCCCAGAATGATTCCTATAGAACAGAGATTTGGGAACTGTTAGCTAAAGTTACTGATGGATCATGCAATCAATTTGGTAGGTTTATTATTATTATTATTTTGCTTTGGACATGACATTTTATTTTGTGTAAGCAAGGGTAGGGAGTGTGGAGGTTGTGGTAATTGGCTCTCTCCTTCCACCTTGTAGATTCAAGGGATGGGAACTTAGGGTCTCAGGATTGCAGGCAAAAGCCTTGACTTGTGGAGCTATCTTCCCAGCCCTATTATTATTATTATCTTAAAAACAGTGTAGACTAGAACAGAATATCTTAGGGACAGGAAAATGGTAGTTCTATGAATCTCTTGTTTCAAATCCCCCTATTACAATATAAAATATATTTCTTACTAGCTAAAAAGCAATGAGAGGAACAATGTTTGCCTTGAGATATTAACACACAGATTCTCAGGCTCAGGAAATTCTTGGATCAGAAGCTCAGGAATTCTTTACTTTGAACAAGGTCCCTTGTGGATTCTGATATACCCTGAACTTTGGAGTTTCCAGTCTGAGAGAGAACCTTTGTAGGGTCTGCAATTTGGAGCGGTTTAACAGCCATGGAAGAGCTGCTCAACACATTAGTTCAGCCACATTTTCATGGTCCTCACCTATTTAAAAGGCAGGGAACAGGCATTGAATGACCACAGACAAAATGTGAGTGCCCTCTTTCCGCTGCTGGTTGCATTTCTGGACTCTTTCCTCCCAATTCCTCCTGTACCCTGGCCCCAAGAGACAGCCAGAAGTGCTCTGCTATAGGATGGCCACATAGCTTTAATCATCCCACATAAACAGATGAGGAGTTGCCAGATGTGAGGCTGGAATGCAGCCTGTGGGGAAAGCTTGCTTAGCAAAGAACCAACAAAAGCCCTGGGCCGGTCACCAGATCTCTGTATACAGCAGGTGGAGCCTGTCCTGCCCTAATCCTGGCAGAGTTATTAGCCACCTGTCCTGACAACTGCAAGCAAAATTGGCTGCAGTGAGAACCCAGCTACACTGGAGGCCTAGGCTCGCTTCTGGGAGCTTGGTGGGACTCTTCTCCAACAGCTGTCTCACTCAGTTTACAGCATGAGCCCGCTCTTTAGGCGACACAATTAACCAATGCACGCACATGTGAGTCCATGTATGCATGAATGGATGCCACTGCCTTCCCTAGTCCTAGGTCACCACAACCTAAAAGTCATGATTTTTTTTCCTTGCACATTTCAGGCATACGTTTTAAAAGCCAATCTTAAAGTCTAGGCTCATTTCTGGGTTGACTGGAGACAGGACTGTCCAGAGTTAAAGGTCATCCTGGACAAGGAGAGTCTATAAAATAAACTACCAGAAGCAGGGTGTGGTATCTCACGGCTGCCTTCCTAGTACCTGTGGGGCGGGCTGAGGCAAGAGGAAAGCTGAGATGTCAAAACTACACAGTGAATACCAGATCAACCCGGGTTACACAGCAAGGTCTGTCTTAAATAGCAATAAATAGAGAAACAAACAAAGACAACAAACTGTAGACTCCTTGATTGCGCCAGTTCCCCTCTACACTTTGGCTGAGGGAAGAAAGGCGCTCACTCAACCAGCAGGACTGGAGGTGAGTTAGGGCTGCACAAAGGGCTCCTCCCCCCACCCCCCACCCAGCCCCAGGACACTCAAAGGCTCCTCCTCAATCGGCAGGCTTCCTGGCAGACATCTTGCTGTGTGGGAGCTGCTACAATGTATTTTGTCTTTCCCCCTGACCTCCATTTTTAAACACAACTCTCCCTTATCTTCCGCCTGCTTTGCATCAAAAATGACTTTTGACTTACATCCGTGGGCACGTGAATGTATCCTCTATCCTCTACCTGCTACACTTCAGTCTGTTTACCAACGCGTCCCTTTCAAGGGTTCAATGGGCAAGGGTTAGTTCGAGGCCAGCCTGGTCCAGAGTTCCGGGGAAACCCAGTCTCAAAACAACAACAACAAACAAACAAACAAAACCAAAAAGGAAGGATTGGGAGTGTTCAATGAGGCAAGATCCTTAAGTACTCACGCCCACTAGGGACCATCTTTCTCCCTACTCTACCCTTACTATATGGCTCCTTCTGTTCTCTGGGATTTTACAGTGGCTCTTCCTTTTGCCTTAGGTTCTTTACACCAGGAGACGCTTAAAGGTCGCTGCCCAATTAAGGGTTTTCGTCCAACACCCAGTTTGCAATCTGTCTTCTGACTCCAGGACTTCCATTCTCCCACGCTTCACGTATTTTTGTTTTTAGCTGCCACGGACTGTTAGTCCATTATATAAAACAGCGTGTCCACTGTGTTTACAGTATAATCTCCTCACTGGAAAGGATGCTCTAAGCTCTTTAAAAATGTGTATGCTTTGTTCACTGCCGTATTCTTAGCATTAAACTGTGGAGCACATGGTGTATTTCTGGAGCAATACTTGCTGAATCACTCTTTTACAAGACTAAAAGAAAACACAACAAAAAAGCCCAACAAACAAACAACACAAAAACCCTCACAATGCCTCAGGTCAATACACTATATTTACTCTGTGGCTGTGCTGTGCTTGAGTCTTGATCTACCCTGGGGGCACTGATTTACAAATGCTTGGGGAAATCAGGGACTGGGAGTCACTAGTAAGGGACTAATTTAAGGTGAATCTCATTTTCATTAATCCATTTTACCTCTAGGAGATAGAACTGAGAAGAAAGCTGAAATTAGAAACCCATTACAGTAATTCAGGAAGAGGTGATAAAAGTTTGGATCATTTGAAACACACGAGGTTAAGCCATAATGATTAGTTGGATATTGGGGGCCAGTGGGGATCAGACTAAGTTTTAGGGCTCTATGGCTGTAACTATAATGCCACAGTAATGGAAAGACAACACCCCAAGAGTCTGTTACAAGTGGAGCAGGGAGGTAAACATCCTCCTCCTAGATTAACATTTACCTTCCTAATGAGCCTACAAATAACCTAAATGAAATGCTTAAGATATAAAGTTCACTCTGGTGCAGAGCAGACCAAAGAGACCAAAGCAATCCTCTAAGACCCTTGCTTATATTCCCATTTATCAGTGTGCTGAGCTGGACTTTGAGCAGGGAGATTCCCTTGTAAGGAAAAGGGCAGGAATGCTGTCTTGTGGGTTAAAAGTTTCAAGTCAATTGTGGACCAGAAGATAAAGACCTACCAAGACTCCGAAAGACTTCAAACGACTGCTCTCCAATTCACCGCAACACTTCAAAACTAGGTGGTTTTAGGTACCCATCCTAGATTCCCCAAGGAAATAGTTCAATCAACTTAGTTCAAACAGAACACTTCAATCCATTTCTTACACAGCTTGAATTTTAGTGCCATACGGTACCTGGAAAGTTCTCTCGATTGAGCTTAGGCCGACGGATGATCACAAAGTCTTTTTCGCTGCCTTTGCTCTTTAGCCGTTTCCTTGGGGGGCTCTGAGGGTGGCCGAGGTTTGAGAGCAGTTCATGTGGAATGTTCTCACTGTCCACTTCCTCCTTCTCCAAGGCAGAGACACCCATGCCTGAGAGCAGTTCAGAAGTCTTGCTGGAATCCCATCCCCATGTGAAGCTGGTGGTGACGTTGCTACTCTGGTCCGGAATCTCCTGAAGGTGTTTCCTGCAGAAGGGCACACATTCCCCAGTCCTTTTGAAAGCACACCCCTAAATAATTCCAAGGTAGGAAGGAAAGAAGCGTCAAGTAGGCAGTGTGGAAAAGTCACACCAAGAAACAGTACTGCAATTTAACATGCCTGCAGCGAGCTTTCAAGAATGAAAGAGAAAATCGGAAACACATACACACCCTACCATGAAAGGCTTTGGGATTGACGGTCACGCAGAAGGCCTCAATAACTTCTTCCCGTGGAGGGAAAAAGAGGGACAGCATTCATACCAGGATTCAAAAGAGTGGGAGGAAAACCTAATTAGGAAGTCGAATTGAAAGGCACACAGATATTCTCACTAAAGCATGCATCCATCCACTTTCTTCAAAAAAGGAGCTAGGCAACCATTCACAAAACAAGATTATTTGAGCAAGAAGCAACCTTCGCGGCCTAAAAGCATTCAAACGATTCATTCATGCTTTGCCCCGTTTTTGCAATCGGTTTACCTGTGCATTGCGTCCACGGATTCAGGGGTTTTGAATGCGTGCATTAATTGAAGATCTGCCTGCTCCCAGACTCCAGCTCCAGCGTGCGGCGCAGAGTGATTTCCCCCACGGGGCCCCACAGCCGGACCCGCGAACTAGCAACGTTCCATCACCACCGCGCGCGCGGAGTTCTGCATCCCGCTCTCCAGCAGCCGCCTTCTGACGCCCCGTCGCCTGCTGGGAATTGTAGTTCTGGGCGTGACTCGCTATCCGACTAGGTTTCCTCCTCCTTTTTGCCCAGCCCTCCAGATACCCACAACCCCCCGCGGTGCAGGGCGGGACGAGGGTGGACGGGAGTGGGGGGGCGCGGAAAACGGGCGAGCGGAAGTGGGCGGAGCTCAGACTGACTGGGAAATGTCAGCCGATTGACTGGGTGAGGGTTTTTATTTTCCCGGTGCCCACAGGCCTTCAGGTGACCACCTCTGCGGTCGCCTCGGACCGTGGGTCTCTGACGCCGGCAGACTGCGGCGGACGCGAAGCTTCTCAGTCCCTTCTGGGCGCTGTCTGGAGAGATCCGACGGTGAGCATAATGGGGGTGGCGCGTGCGGCGCGTCGGGGTCTGGGGTCCCGGCCCAGCCTGGCGGAGATGGACGGGGTGGGAGGGGGGCTCGACCTTGCGTGTGGCGGCCGCCGCCAGGCCCTGCTCCCAGGTCTCGGTCGCCGGGCCGTCAGGTGAGAGGCTGCGGGTGGCACACCTGCCCTCCCGCCAGTCGGCTGCTTCCTCCACCTGGCAGTGGGCGGCCCTTAGGACCGGGGTTGTGGGCGCGATCCTAACCTCACCTATGAAATAGCACGGCGCACACACACCCCACGGGCCGGGACTGAGGATCAGATCGGACAGCCTGCGTGTGCAGGGCTTTTTAAGCTAAAGCGCAGTTCCGGGAGAAGCCGTGGTTTAATTTTAGGGCAGCAGGGGACAGCAGGACTTCCAGCGAGTGTCTTGTATCCTTGATGCGTTTCTCAAATGCAGGCAAGGGAACGAGACAACGATGATGTGCCTGCAGGGAGAGAGCACCCTGAGAAGCTGTTGCGGTGCTTCTGACTCAACCCATAGCCGAGAAGCGAGGCCAATTTAGGCATTTTGAAGAGGTCGGGGGCGATTAGATTAGGATGACCGTGCGAAATGCGAGTGTGCAAGCTGCGCTAAAAATGTGACACCGGGGCAGCAGGGGAGAGGGTAGGGGACGCATTTCAAGTCCAATAAAAATGAAGAGGATTATGAAGTTGAGAAAAAGGCACTAGCCCCATCAAAAACATAGTATTGGTTCGTGCGTTAGATAACATGCCCTTGTGTTTCTTTGGTGGTAGGGGAGCAAGATTCGTTTTTATAATGGAATTAAATCCCTCTCACTCGGGTGTGTGTTTCTAGCATGTTCTTTGCATCAATTACTTACTGACAGGAAGAGGCATTTATAAACCCTTAGTTCTTGAAAGTGAGAGTTGTGTGTGTGTGTGTGTGTGTGTGTGTGTGTGTGAGAGAGAGAGAGAGAGAGAGAGAGAGAGAGAGAGAGAGAGGGAGATCTGACCTCTGACTTGATCTGATAGCGCACAGCTTTAATCTTAATACGCGGGAGGCAGGAGCAGGCAGATCTTTGTGGAGTTTGAGGCCGGCCTGATCTACAGAGTGAGTTCCAGGAAAGCCAGAGATGCTACACAGAGAAACCCTGTTTCAGAAAACCATAGAGAGAGGGAGGAGAGAGAGAGAGAGAGAGAGAGAGAGAGAGAGAGAGATCTCAAAGTATTGAAAGGAAGCAAAGACTATTCCCGAGGCAGAGGCAGGCAGAAGCTGTTAGTTCAAGGCCAGCTTGGTCTGCAGAGCAAGTTCCAGGACAGCCAGGGCTACACAGAGAAAAACAAAGCAAACAAAAACCAACCAAACAAACAAACAATGACGAGTATTCACGATTCATTCATTCATACATTCATTCATTAACTGTTGCAGTAAGAAAGCATGTTAAAATGAGACCTTCCAAAGTTTCATATATAGTTACTTTTTGTTACTTTGGAAAGCTCATTTACCTTCTCTTGAACTGTGTCCCTTCTGTTATGATTCTAACTCATTCACAAAAAAAAATAAAAAAATATGCAGTTCACTTTTTAAGAACAGTGAACAATACAGAGCTTGTAAACCAATGAAAGAAAACACAACAAAAATAGTTTGACACCCTGACAATAAACAATGTTGAGATATAAAGTACTTAATAAAAGATCTTGTAGGTGGGAATGCTTTGCCTTGATAATGGAACTAGTCTCTTTTTGCATTTCTTCTAATCACAGCTGTTTCCTTAGTGTGGTAAAAGTTTTAAAGCTCAAATTGGCACACATGATTCTTTTTGATAGAGGAATTGTATCCATTGAAGATTTGAGATTATTAACTATATAGAGATTCCCCTCTAGTCTCTTAAAGGGCTATATTGTGGTTGCTGCTAATGTAGAATATTTTATTTCCTGATTAATCTTATTTAATCCTACCCAACGCACAGTGCATTTCATTTTAATAAGTCTTAAAACATGTTTTCAGCATTGGAATTAATCTGGGTCCAGGAAAAAAAGAATCATTTTATATAACTGAAAATATTATTAGGTTGAATAATATCCAGTGCTCTTTGGAAGCTTAATATAGAACACAAAGTGACAATATAAATTGAGAAATGTGAGATTGTAGAAAAGTCACCAGCAGTGTCTTTTATGCAGCTAAAAACATAGCATAATTACAAGGCAATCATTATTAGAAAAGACTGGCACTCATAACTGACTATGATATATATGTGCATGTTTATGGCATATGCATATTTGCATACATGTGTAGAACTATGTCTATGTAGCCATCTCGTCAGTACCACTTGATCTCGTTTTTGAAAATCAAATATAGCCAGAGAGATACAGCTAAGCATAAAGGCAATGTTGCAGCATAGAAATTTAAAAATTCCTTTTCCCTCTTTATGTTATTTAGCCTAGGAAAACAAAGTACTGGAGACAGTTATAGCAATATGCTTTCAGTTGCCTATCAAATTCCCTTTCTCTTAAATTGGTTTTGTAGTTATATTCAGTTTTCTTTGACTTAATGATCAGTAATGGGCAGGTTATTTTAATAACAAAAAGATTCTTATTTGTCCTGTTTACTTATATTACTCCCATGAAAATTAGAAAAGAATCTACTATAGTCTAAATGAAATAATTACCCACAAAGTAAAATGTTAAATTCTGTATTAAACATGACCTTTTAAGGACTCTGTCTTGATATATCTAGAAGAAAAATAGGGGAATATTTTTCATTTATTTTTTATGAAAATAGAAACAAATTGCATTTTAAAGGATGCCTGGATTGTGTGATGTGAAATTGAAATCCGTCCTCTGTGGTCAGGATGCCTCACTTTGGGTCTGCTTTGCCTTATATGACTGTGAGAGCTTGTATAAGCTGCTTATTCACCCTCATGTCTTCTACTTTAATAATCAACATTCTAACAGTCCTTCCTCACTAGATTGTGGCAACTAATTTAGCAAAACAAATAATGGGTAGTGTAATATCCTAAACATACTCTAAATCTTAGAGTTGCCTTGTAAAAACATTACTTTGTTATAAAGGAGTCTCTAAAAACAAAACGAAGCAAAAACCAGCTAAAGGAGTCTCCAGATATCAAAGTAACTCTCTTTCTTCCACTGAAGTCCTCGAGGTTTAGAGGTTTGTTGAAAGGTTAGTGTTCTCCTTACCCACTGACCTGGTTGTGCTTCAGCCCTGCAAGTCTTGCCAAAGATGAGTCATCTGCTGGTGCCTCTTGCTACGCTTTGGAATCCCTGTCACCTGGTGTGTCAAGTCTTTTCTTAGATGGACCAACACAAGAATGAAAACATTCTGGCTTTTTGTCATTTTTAAAGTGAAATAGTCACTTGTGCTATTGTTGTAAATGGAGCTCTAGCTGCAAAGCCTTTAACATAATGGCTATATTTAAGGCTTTTCTTAATAATGCTGGGAAACTGCTCACTTTTACACTTTATCATTCACTTCTTAGTCTGCTCCTTTTAAGTCTTAGCTAGGCTCGTGAGTTAGCATCTAGCCTTCATTGTGTCACATACCTGAGTTAAAATAATTATTTAAATTACTAGTGCAACTGAGATGTGGCTCAGGGGTGGAGAGTTTGTGTAGCATCTCAAAGCCAGAAAAAAAAAAAAAGAATAAGTTAAAAACAACTCTGATGAATCCTCAGGTTTTGATGGGAAATTTTTTTATTGGTTTCAGGAATTTGGGGTTTGATGAACTTTTTTTGTCTATTTTTTGTTTGTATTCACATGAGTTGCTTTGATTTCTTCTTCTTCTTTTTTTTTTTAATTCCCTTTTACTTGAGTTCCCTCTCTCTCCTGTCCTGTCTGTTTTTGAACATTTGTGATTCTTCAAATTCCAAAATTATCTTAACCTTTAATTTTCTTTTCACAGTGAGTTTATTGTGTATAACCATCATCAGTCACAATCTACATAGAAGACAGTACTCCTGAGCCATTCATTTTCACAAGGTTATAAAGGCATTTGGAAATATATTGAATAATATTTTGATCACTGGAAAATGATGGAGTTGGGCTTTAAATATTTAAGGCTTTTTTACTTGCTGTTTTGAACAGTACAATCTAACTACACATAAGGTACTAAAATTTTATCAATTAAGTCAATTGGCATTTTGGTTTTGAATAAAATCAACTTTGCTACTATGGTGTTAATACCAACCCATGAAAACTAGCATACTTCCAAATATTAATCATTATCTTCCCTCCATACCTGTAATTTTAATGTTTGGAGAATATGGTAAGTCAACCTTTGTTGTGGTCAAAGGCAAATTTTTCCTTTGACTCTTGGAATCTTTTATAGGGTTGCACAGTTACAGTTGAGCAAATGTTCCGTAATAATTAACCCACTCTGAATGTGTGCCTATATGGATGACACTGTCTTGTCTGGTATTGGTGTGCTAGATGTGCCTTCTTGATATGGTTCTGAATTGTGTTTAGTTTGCCAGGAAACATGAAGGATTGTTTAGCTACCTTGCAAAATGAAGGAAGCAATGCTAATTTGTTGCAAGGGAGCAATAATCTCTATGAGCCAAGCTCATTTCTTACAAAGGGATGAGGATGCACTTTGGGAGTTGTAGCCACAGAGATTAAGAAGTAAGATTCAGTTATTTTCTTTTCTATGCATCCTTGTTTGAGGAAAACAGACTATGAAGGGTAGAACCAATGCTTTGAGACCATTAGGGTAAGTAGGTATGTTCTAGAAAACAGCAGAGGTAAGCAGTTAGTGTCTGGAACTCTTCCTTAGTGTTTTATGTATATTTGATCTTTATAGCCACAGGTGTGAGGTGCTCATCCTCATTTAAGAGCTTTCATTGCATAAACTTACATAATTATCAAGCAGTTATGGTTTTAAGCCCAGGTGTTCCAAGGTATAATAAAACATATATTTTAAAAGAGTTGTAACATCCAACACAAATTTTCTGTATTTAATCCTACATATGATATTGACCTTAAATAACTCTTAATTACAAAATACTGTTATTTGTTACTAAAAATTAAAAACAAACATATACAAAAAGGCACAAAGAAGAAAGTAGAAACCTTTTTTTTTTCGTACACCATCATCACCACCTTTTGTTTTATTAAAGCTTTTATGACAATGGTGAGACCAGAGGACTTTCTGGACTACTTATTGCAAACATTTAGTTGTTCTGTGCTTTTATGTATAATGCTGGTAATGAAAATGAACATTGTAGATAAATCTTTAATTCCCATTTTTCTATTTCTTTTGTTTTTGTGTGTGTTTGCATACACATGCTTGTTTCTACATATGTATTTATGAGAGTGTTCAAGCATGTGTGTGAACGTGAGGCCAGAGAACCACCTAGGATGTTGTTTGTCCATGCTGCCTTATTTTTGAGAAGCGTCTCTTTCTGGAGGTTGCTGATTAGGCAAAGCTGACTAGCTAGCAAGCCCCAGGGATCCACCTGTCTCCTCCCCCTTAGCACTGGAATTATAACTGTGTGCCCCACATCCAGCTTTGTGCTTTGTTTTTTCTTGAGAATGAGTAATTAAAAAAGGATTTGCTGCCTCAAAAGTACATTTTTTCATTTTAGATTTTGATATGTATTGTCAAATTGCTGTTCCACTGTTAACAGGACCATATTCTTTTTACTTGACAATTACTCTTATGCACTATAATATATAAATAGCTAAGTTAGGCAAAGAATAAGATACCCTGCCGTTCATCAGAGTTATTCAGTTGCAGTAACCAAGACAAGCTATAGGAATTCACAGATAGTCATAATAGGTACTATCATTGTATACTTAAAAGGTAATTCCTCATTTGAATTTAGGAATAAGATCAACAATTCAAACTTCAAACTCATATTCTTTCAGGTTAGGAAAACACAATGAATCTCCAATTTCACTGGGCTTCATCTGTGTTATAATGACACAAAAAGAAAAATAAATGTGATGTGGGATGCCCCTCTCTATGCTGTGAATATGTTTTATTACCATTGGTTTGTAACATGACGGGGCTGGCTTGTTGGGGTTTCTGTCCTGCTCAGTACCCTACAGCCGGCAAGCCCAAAGAAAATCACACACTGGACTCCATAAGGTTATAAACTGATTGGCACATTAGGTCAGGCTACTTATTAGCTCTTATAACTTATGTTACCCCATTATCCTTCTCTACGTTAGCCACATGGGCTCAGTACCTTTCTCAGTGTGACAGCTTACGTGTTGCCTCTTCGGTGGTCTGCGCAGGAATGGCGGAGGAGCTTCTGCTTCCAGAATACTCCCAGTCTCTTTGCTCCACCCCTACTTCCTGTCTGTCTTTCCTGCCTATACTGCCTGCCTGGCCAATCAGTGTTTTATTAAAATATGATTGACAGAATACAGACAATTCTCTCACACCATTGGTTAATAAAGAAGCTGCTTTGGTCTGTGGCAGGGCAGAATATAGTTAGGTGGGAAATCCAGATATAGATACATGGAGAAAGAAGGCGGTCAAGGAGATGCCCTCCAGCCACTCAAGGAGGAACATGCCAGAGCACCACTGGTAAGCCATGGGCCGTGTGGCAATACACAGATTAATAGAAATGGGTGAATTTAGTTGTAAGAGCTAGTTAATAATAAGCCTGAGCTAATAGGCCAAATGGTTTGTAATTAATATTATGCCTTAGAGTGGTTATTTTAAAAATGACTGCCACTTAATTGCAAATGACTTTGGGGTGGGGGGCTAGAATATACAGGCTGAGGAAACACAAGGAGAGGGGTCTTATTGATGCAGCTATAGGGAAGTCTTCATCCCTGCAGAGTAAAGACTTTCCAGGTGTGGCCTGTTGGGGGAGGAGCAGCCACACCCTCTAAATCACCCTTCACCTATGCTCTGTAAGAAAGCCCAATAAACTCATTGGTTCCTAGATTGAACTTTGATGGGATTGTGCCTCAGATTGTCATTGGCACCTTAGGAGAAAGGGGAATACAGTTTATGTTTCCCATTGGGAAAGAATTTAGGAACAATCTGTAATTGTTAAATATAATTATGGTTTATGTTAGAGTTCTTTCCTGCAGTACATTCTGTGGATGCAAGGTGACAGGTGTCTGTCACTGCAGTAGCCCACAGAGCAATTAATTCTACTATGGTACAAGTCACTACCTGTTCTTCTTTTCTTCTATTCTCTGGTGACCACTGATCTTTTAAAATATATATACTTCTATTCTTATTTGAAAGAAAGAAATCATAGATGTCTAAGGAATAGTGTGACATTTATTGTATTTTCATGTGTGGGTTGTGTACTGATCAGATGACCATCGATCTTGTTGCTGTCTCTGTAATTATGTATTTCAGAATGTGTGTTGTTGAAATACAGCCTTTTAGAATTGCTTCTTTGAAAAAAAAATAATTCTGCCAAACCACATGGGAAGAAAAGCTTCCAGGCACATAAATGATGTGGTAAACAGAGTACTGGACACATAAAAATAGCTATATATCCCTAATCTCTTGGAGTGAGATGAAAACACCTACTGCATACACTCCACGTGTGACATCGGCTTTGATGAGCACTGTGAATTCTGAAATTCTCCAGAGAGGATTGTAAACCTGCTGATGCCTTGAAACCCTAAGAGAGAACTTAGTTGAGCTATTCTGTGCTGGGAATTTTGATTCACACAAATGATGATAAATAGCTGCTCTTCATCACCACCTGATAGAATAGTATCCTGACCATAAAGAGAGGATAGGGCCAAATTTTCCTGTACTGAGATGAAAGACCCACAAGTATGCTTTATATGTAACATTGTAAAGTACTTAGACTGAGAAATTGAGAAGAATAGTAAAAATATTAATATGGCAGGTTAGTAACTGATTTTGTCGTTTACCTCTGCCCATTCTAACACCTCCCATGGGGTGTTTTTAAGTATTTCATTATTGTCTAATTTTTTCTGCATAGGACATAAAATGTGTATCTAATCTTTCAGTTTATGTGGGCATGCCCTTTTGTTATTAATAATCCTAAACATTATTTCTTTTTCTTCAATAATATTTGACCATTGGGCACTAATAAATATTTAGGATTTGGGGGTATTTTTTTGTGCTATTATAATATTCCTCACACTGAAAAATTTCAGATAGTAAAAGTATAAAGATTTTCTGGTAATAATTATGTTATACTTAAACTCACACTGAGTTACATTTTTTTATTTTTATTCCTTAATTAAAAAGTGTTTTCATACAATATATTTTGGTCATTTTCTCCTCCCCAGCTCCTGGTCTTTCCACATTTCTACCCACCCAACTCTATGTTCTTTCTCTCCCTCTCTCTTAAAACAAAAACAAAAATATTCCCACAAACAATCAAAAACCCACAGAAACTAATATCAAAGCAAAAAAATTACCAATAAGGCAAAAAAGTAAAAACAAAGCAATAACACAAAAAGTAAACACACAATAACAACAATAAAAACAAACAAACCAACAACAATAATAAACATTGAATTATTTTTGTGGCCTGCCCTGGAGTATGATTGATGTCCCTGTGACACTCTATTAGAGAAAACTGATTTCTTTTCCCTGAGTGACATTTACAAAAGCTGGAACTTGGAGGTGGCACCAGGTTCATCAGCATGTTCCACCTCGCACCAACACTGATCACTTAACATTTGCCGTAAAAATGGTTGAGGTCTATAATATTTTTCTAGAATGTGGTATTTAAATTATTCAGTAGCAATTGATAAGGTACAGAGCAGTAGATATTAACTTAATTTATATTTTTTGTAACAAGTTTCAAATTACTTTTGAATTAAGCAATGATAGAAAAATTGTGTAAGTCCTACAAATACAGTAATCACTCACTTATAATAGATATTCCAAATATGGCAGATACCTCCACCTCAGAACTCTTTCAGGGAGTCTAGCTACAGAAGCTGTTACAGGGATATAACTGATGAGGCGTCAGGAAGATGGTTCAGTGGAAAAGTGCTGATACACAAGCATGAGGACCAAAGCTCAGATTCTCAGAACAAACAGCTGGGTGAAGAGGCACATGCCCTATTGATGGGAAGAGGGACAGAGACAGGAGACTTCTGAAACTATTATCTCATTAGCCAAACTACCAAGCTCTGGGTTCAGAGTGGGAAAACAAAATTACATATTTTCTTCAGTTACTTGTTTGTTTGTTTGTTTGTTTTAGAAGTTACTAATCATTTGCTGATGTTTGTATTATACATTTACAATTAAAATTACTTTCCAGCTGGGTGTGGTGGCACGTGTTTGTAATCCCCCAGCACTTGAGAAGTGAAGGTGAGAAGTATTCGATGTTTGTTTTTGGTAGAACTAACCTGAGATACATGAAACCATGTGTCAGACAAGCAAAACAGAACAGAATTGTCTCAATAGGAGGAAGTAGAAGTAGCAGACTTACCAGTACAAGGCCAGTCTGGTCTATATAATGAGTTATAGGCTAGCCTGGGCTCTGTAGCAAGACAAATGTCTCAAAAACTTGGAAATAAAATGAAATAGAATAAAACAAAAACAGCCAATGATTTTATCGAGTAACTATTGGTAAAACCAGCTATGGTGTCATATGCCTTTAATCCCAGCATTTAGGTAATTTACAGTAGGAGACTGATAGCTAATCTAGGCTATATCATGAATTTCCAACGAACGGGTGTGGTCTAGATGATTTTTCAACAGTAGTAGTTGTAAAAGTAGCTTCTTTGCATGTAAAATAGAAAATTAGCTTTCTTTAGAGGAAGTAATATTTATACAGATTAGTGAAAAATGTTTACCTATTTGACAAACTTTGAATCATGAAAATTGAGTTTGACAAAGCACAAAAGGAGAATAATGTTTCAAAGAAATTAGTTTTGAATGTTTTTGTTGGTGACTTTCTTTCAGGAAATCTTAAGTTCTTGGCTATGGATGATTTTAGAAAACTTTATTAAATGTCTAACTTTCTAAAATAGATTTAATATCTCATTTTCTATGATAGATTATTTATATAAAATATTCTGCAACAAAGATCCACCCCTACCCAAGAAGCTATTTGCAGTTGGTACCTGATAGCAAAGGGAAAATTAGTTTTTTCCAATGGAATGTCATGGGATATATCAGTACACTCAGGTCAGACCTCATGTCCAAGAGTAGTTGGCCAACAAAATGGACTCCGTGGTTTTTATTTGTTTGTTTTGTTCTGTTTTTGTTTGTTTGCTTTGTATGTGTGTATATGTGTGTTTTGGTGGTCTTTATCTTGCTGGTATTGTTTACTTATTTGTTTTGTTCTTTGTTTTATGTTCTTTTAAGAGAGAAGTTGGGTAGATGGGGAGGTAATGAGGATCTATGAGGGGTTGGGGAGGAGAAACAGTATGATCAAAATATATTGTATTAAAAAGTTTTAAAATTTAAAGAAACTTAAAGAAGACACAAATTTTAGTCTGTTTTCACCCCTTACTAATTTAAATATTTGGCTATCATTTATAACATTTAGAAACACATTCAAATAATAAATTAAAACTTTATATATTGGTATTAAGAATTTATTAATTTTTAAAACATTTTTAAGAATGAATATAACTTTTATTACAGTATTTTTCCCTAAAGAAATGATACATATATCATATATATATATGCTTATACATATATATTTTAAATATACATCAGTGCACCATATGACAATGAGAAACATAGAGTATATATAATATATTTTAGAATAATGAATATGTATACTATATATAAATGACAGATGTCTATATGAGACAGGGTCTTCTGTATAGTCCAGGTTGACCTCTAACTCACCCTGCTGCTCTCTAGCACCCGAAGTACTAGGCTAAAGGTGTGTGTTAGCACTCCCAGCCTACTTGTGAAATTTTAAAGGTGTACTTTAAAAAGTAAGTTATAACAAACTCATTTCCTCTTATTCATTGGTCAATGTAAAGTTACACATGTTTTCCAAAGAGTTTATTAATGTATTAATAAAGTAATTAAAAAATTATCAAATTGTCATTTACTGTGTTAATGTTCTGTGTTTCTTTCTTTTCTTTTTTCTCGTCTAGGGAACAAATATGGTCCAGAACTATGCATGAATCACTGTAGTTGGCGATTGTGAGATTCAATAATGAGTGGTGCAGCTTTAGGACTTGAGATTGTTTTTGTCTTCTTTCTGGCATTGTTCCTCCTTCATCGCTATGGAGACTTTAAGAAACAGCATAGACTTGTAATCATTGGAACACTGCTCGCTTGGTACCTCTGCTTTCTTATTGTCTTCATACTGCCACTGGATGTTAGTACGGTAAGAGTGAAATTGAGATTCTATTGAAAAGTCAGTTATAATCATACAATTTGAAATATGCTTTGAATATTGCATTATTAAAATGATAAAACTATGTGAGGTTATCTTTATATTATGAATTTTGATGTTGTTTAGGAATTTAGTTATTAAATAGTACAGCCAGGAAAATAGGTAGGTAGATTTATGAAATATCCTTTAAGTACTTTGTGAATTCTTGGTTCTCATTGTAAAACTATGTGTTCATTGCTTTAGACAATATATAACCGATGCAGACATGCTGCTGCAAATTCCAGTCCTCCTGAAAATAACAATGTTACGGGAGTGTATGCAGCTGTCACCCCAGCTCCAAGGTATTCTTTCCTTCTACTTTCTTGCTTAATATAAATATTGCAATTGATAGTTTTACCACCTGTATTTTATATTTATAAAGTTTCCCTTATTCCCTATCGTTCCTCTACTTTCATCCTTGCTAGTGTGTTTATTATATTGTGTGGTATTTAAATACACATTTCAAGTCTATATCACTATATAATGTGGTAGTGAGAAACTTAAAGAAGACACAAATTTTAGTCTGTTTTCACCCCTTACTAAAATCTGAAACCTCTTTTTCATCTCAGTCTGTATTATATTTAAAAATTTAAACATTCTCAAGTTTCAGCACCATAAATAAATTTATAAAGGAGAAGCATTTTTTCATTTCATCTAATTTACAAGAGTTAATACAAGTAGAGTTTGGTATGGTGGTGTAACCCCAGCACATCAAGAGTTCTAGGCCAGCCTCACCTACGTAGTTCAGGACTAGCCTAGACTACATGAGGCCTTATTTTTAAAACCCCCAAAGAGAAACAAGCTAGAACAAGGTTGTGTGAATAGAGAGTATTTCTTTCGTATTACACATTCTTAAGAAACATGATAGGGCTAGATAGTTGACTCAGCAGTTAAGAATACTTCCTGTTATTGCAGAGGACCCAAATTCAATTCCCAACACCTGTGTTCACAACTAACCAAACCTCTGACCTCTGTAGCTACCTGCCCTCATGTGCATACACACACACACACACGAGAGAGAGAGAGAGAGAGAGAGAGAGAGAGAGAGAGAGAGAGAGAGAAAGAAACATATACATAATGAAAATAATGTATAAAAGAAACATTTTGGTGTTTCTTTGTGTAGCTTTTAAAAGAAAATATAGGACCTAGGGAGATAGCTTAGTCAATACAGTGCTTGCCTCACAATTATAAGGACCTGAGTTTGATCCCAAGAATCCACATAAAAATGTTGTGCACTTGTAATCCCATTGTTGGACTCACTGAACAAGAACCAGCATTGCCAGATTGATGAGCCCTACACCAATTAGAAACCCTTTCTCAAAGGAGTGGGCTAGTGCTCCTAAGGATGACGCCCAAGATTGTCCTCTGACCTTCTTGTACACATGCACTTTCACACACATGAACCTGCACATACACTTGCAAGAACATCTAACCTGAGTAAAGTTAAAATGCAAAGTTGAATTCCCATGCAAAACTAGCTGTAAATAAGTAATAGTTTGAAGAGTTATAAGTCCTTGAATTAAAAAGGTAGCCTCATTGTCAAAAAAAAAAAACCCTTAAGTGAAAGAATTTATGGTGAGAGACTCTTAATCAGAGAAGATGAACAGAACTGTGTATAGATGTGGGTGCTTATCTAGGCAGAACTGATAGGGTGTCTAATTTAATTAGTATTGTATCCAGGAATTACCTAAATTTCTGTTTTATTGAATTCCTATCCAATTCCTATTTCAACCTTCATTACTATATAACAATAAAGGGCAAATATAGCCAGCCTTACAAATAGGATGAGTATATTTTAAGTGTAATCATTGAGTATTTGATTCTATAAATCTAATTTCTAAAGAGTTCTACACTACCAGTCAGTTAATTAAATAGTAGGGCTTCTTTTCACTAAATAACTAAAAATACACTGAAAATTGAAAACTTATAATAATCCTTTTTGTTCTGACAGCTTTGTTTTAAAATTTTCTGAGACATTAGGATCTGATCAGTAATTATTAATTTGGTACAAATGAACTTTGCTGCTCACAAATTTGTATAAATTTTCTTTTAAGAAATAATTATTTGTGATTAACTGACTTTAAATTGTTATAACAGGCAACATCCATGTTTCAAGCCATGGAGTTACATTCCAGATGGAATCATGCCAATTTTCTGGAGGGTAGTTTATTGGACATCACAGTTTTTAACGTGGTAAGTAGAAGTGAAGGATGCATTTGTGGGTAAAGTGATTAATTTTTAGTGAACCTTAATATTTTAAAGTGTGTGTGTGTGTGTGTGACACACATATATCCCAGTTTTTCTGACTCATTTCTCCTATCTTTAAAAAAAGATGAAAGTAAAGAGGAAAAAGGGATACAAAATTAGAAAACAGAAATGAAAACTTTCCTCGTGACTCCTCCCTTCCACATCACTTCTCGTTTGACCTTCAGTCCGGCCCTCTTTTAGCTCTGTTATTACATAAAAGCGCTTTCACTAAGGTCACTACTTTCCCTTGGTTTCTTTTCTTACATATGTTTTTGATTGAAGTAGAATTACATTACTTCCTCTCTCCCTTTCTTCCCTCTAGTCTATCCCAAATACCCCATCACATCCATCCTATACCTCCACCCCTAACTTTCAAGTTGATAGCCTCTTTTTGATAATTTCTTTGATTATTACTGTTAACATGCTACCTGATAAATCAATTTATGTATGTGTGTATATGGTTATAGGATTGACCACTCTTCATTGGACCAGGGACTCCTCCCTGGTAGAGGCTAATTGTCCCTCTCCCAGCAGTAATTAGTTGTCTGTAGTTTTGGTCTAGAGCATTGGTTCTCAATCTATAGGTCATGACCCTTTTGGGGATTGAGCAACCCTTTCACAGAGGTCACCTAAGACTATCGGAAAACATAGATATTTACATTATGATTCATAACAGCAAAATTACAGTTTGAAGTAGTAATGAAAGTAGTTTCATGTTTGGGCCACACCAGATGAGGAACTGTGTTAAAGCGTCACAGCATTAGGAAGGTTGAGAACAACTGATCTAAAGATAGCACTGCTCACAGTTTCCCCTTTTCCCCATAAATATGTTCAAAAATATTGCCATTGTTCTGGTTTTATTTATGCAGCTATTTCTAGGAGAGACTGTTTCACCACAGATTTCCTGGTATTCTACCTCTTAAAAATTTTTCCTCTTAGCCGGAGAGACGGTTCAGGGGGTAGAGTGCCCGACCGCTCCGCCCGAGGACCCGAGTTCGATTCCCAGTCCAGCAGCTCAAGTAGTTCCCTTACAGTCTGTCAGCTCCCTCTGGTGGCTGCAGAACAACCCACACACAGTCTTCCACTGTAGATCCGCATAGAGCAGTAGGCAAAAATAAATAAATAAAAAATTTCCTCTTCCACAGTGACCCCTGAGACATAGATGCAAGAACTGTGATATAGACTGGGTTGAATTTGGACTCCCCACTGTCATGATCTGCATTGTGTTCACTTGTGTTTCTCTGTTATGGTCTCAATTTGTTATGGTCTCAATCAAAGAAAGGCTTCTTTGATGAAGTTGTAGCTACACCAATCTGTGGGTGTAAGGATAAGATTTAGAATATAGTAAGGAATTATGCTGGTCTAGCTAAGTGGCGGTACTAGCTTGTTCTCTAATGTACATGTCCTCACTAAGCCTTAGGCAGCAGGGTAGGTTTTCAGTACCAGGCATGATTTCCTTCCTGTTGAGTGGTCCTTGATTCCAATTAGACAGATGTTGGTTACCACTAACAAATGTGAGTGCTGTTTCCTGCACCATCACAAATACCTTGCCATGCTGGTTATATTCTGGTTCATAGATGTTGCAGTTGGATAGGACTATCTAATTGCTTCCCTCTTTTGGCAGCTTGCATAGTATTTACTCAAGGAGGCTAGATTGAAAAAAAAAAGCTTTCATGTTAGGTCCAACTCAGATAATCAAATCTTGTGTCCTAAATGTGCAATGACTTTAGCAATAGGGGCCCTCTAGCCCTGCCTGCTTACTCATACATTCTCATTTCCTTCATGGATGTTTCCCTTATTTCTGTAACTCAGTTCCTGAATGTTGGTCTTCCCTTGAACCTTGTCCTTAGTCATCTTGCCTGCCTGTTCCCACATAGCATCAATTACAGCTATGGCTTTAATAACAGTAATGTACTCAACTTTATTTCTCTATCCATTGTAGTTTGTCTTTCTTCTGTGCTCTAGACTCACAGTTATCTTCTACCTTCTGATCCTTCCTTTCTTAGATATTCTGCAGACCACTAAGCTCTCAAACTGGGTGTAGCGAACATTACAAGAGGAAAAATTACAAAACAAAGTAGAATAGTATCTCCTGAAGTTTATCTTTAATAATCTCTACCAGACCCTTAAAATTGCAAGGTTTTTCTTTGTTTATTTGTCTGCTTCCTCTTCACTTTCTAAACTTAAGATCTTTTGTGTGGTCCTTTTCTATTCCTTCTAATATATGACCTTTTCTCTTGGCATATGACATCACTGTTTGCCTTATAATGAAAACAGAGGTTATCACACGACAGTTCTCTCAGTGTCTGTCTTATCAGCACATCTACCTACTTACCATCTCCTTGCCCTCCAGGGATGGAAGATTCATTTTTATTATGCTAACCTCACTTCCTAAAATATGAACTTGACCTCTTAACTTCTATTACTTATAACTTTCAGGTTTGACAGCATTTCCTCAACGTTTAAAATAGTGTTCAATGCACATAAACAATTCACCTACAAACAAGTAAATTTTTTAAAGTTTCTCTCATCTAAAATCTTTTCTAGTCTCTACCTCACTAGTATCATTACAGCAAATGTTTTTAGGGACTTAAAATATTGAAGTATGAAGTTTTATCAAAAATACGCTCATTGTATTTAATTCATTTTTCAAAATGGATGTATCCATATACCAGCACCCAGTGATATAGGCCATTCACAATACGCCTGACCATGAAGTATTCCTCATGTTCTTCTCTAGACATTCTTTATCCTTAAGAGTAACCACACTTTTTACTTCCATCACTATAGATTGGTCTATTGTGCTTAGAAATTTATAAATGTAGACTTCTACAGCATGAATTTCTCTCTTTCTCTCCCTTTGTTTACATACTTTGGAGATTCATTTATACAGTTTTGTATATTCCATTATTTTGTGACTGTTATTAATTTCTGTGAGACATTCACTTTATGTGTATGCCGTAGTTTATAAAAGGATATCCAGCTAGACTCCTTAAAGAAACCTTCTCCACTTGATGGCTCCATTTGCTCACTGTTACTTTTTTCCTCAATCTGTGGTATCCTTTTTTTAAATTAATTAAATTTTTTCATTTATTTTACAGTGCTACTGTAGCTCACCCCCATTCCCTCCCTCTTTTCTGCCCGCCTCCCGAATGCACCCTTCCTTCACTTCTGTTCAGAAAGGAGCATGCCTCCCGTGGGTACTTACAAAGCATGGGATAGCAAGTTGAAGTAGGACTAAGCTCCTCTCCTTCTTTTAAGGTTGGGTGAGGCGATCCAGCATTAGGAACAGCCAAAGTGTTAGGGACAGCCCTGCTTCCACTGCCAGGACTCTCACAAGTAGAGCAAGTAACCCTGCATCACATATATGCAGAGGGCCTAGACCTGTCCCATCCAGGATCCCTAACTGTCGGTCCGTAGTCTGTAAACTCCTATGGAGTTTACAACTGGAGTAGGCCAGTTGCTTCTGTGAAAGACTCTGACCCTCCCACCTCCCGCCCAGCTTGTACAACCCTTGCTCCATCTCTTCAGTAGGATTCCCTGGGCTCAGCCTAGTGCTTGACTGTCTGCATCATCTGTCAGTTACTGGATGAAGGCTCTCTGATGACAATTGGGGTAGTTACCAATTTGATTACAGGAGAAGGCCAGTTTAGACTACGTATCCACTACTGCTAGGATTCTTAACTGGGCTCATCCTTGTAGATTTGTGGCAGTTTCCCTTGCACCAGGTTTTTGTCTGACCCTAAAATGCATCCCCTTTTGAGTCATCTCTTTCAGTACTCTCTTCTTCCACCCTCCTTCCCCAAACTGATTCCTCATGTACCCATCCCCGTCTACCTCCAGTCCATCCACAAAATCTCTTCTGTTTCCCCTTCCAGGGAGATCTGGGTGTCCCATGTTGGGCCCTCTTTTTTACCTAGTCTTTGTGGGGCTGTGAATTGTAGCATGGTTATTCTTTACACCTAATATCCAATTATGAGTGAGTGAGTATATACCATGTTTGTTTTTCTGAGTCTGGGTTACATCACTCAGGATAATTTTTTTTTCAAGTTCATCCATTTGTCTGCGAATTTCATGACGGCATTGTTTTTAAAAGCTGAGTAATACTCCTTTATATAAATACCACATTTTCTTTATCTTTTACTCAGTTGAGAGATGTCCAGTTTCTGGCTGTTATGAATAATCCTGCTATGAACATAGTCAAGCAAGTGTCCTTGTGTTATGATTGAACTTCTTTTGGGTTTATTCCCAAGAGTGGTATAGCTGGGGTTTTGAAATAGATTGATTCCCAAATTTCTGAGAAACTACCATATAGATTTCCAAAGCAGCTGTACAAATTTGCACTCCCACCAGAAGTGGGGGAGTGTTCCACGTACTCTCTAACATGAACTGTCACTTGTGTTTTTCTTGGCCATTCTGGCAAGTGTAAAAAGGAATCTCAGAGTTGTTTTGATTTGCATTTCCCTGATGACTAAGGATGTTGAACATTTCTTTAAGTGTATATTGACCATTTCAAGCTCTCTTATTGTTAATTTTCTGTTTAGATCTGTATCCCATTTTTAAATTATATTGTTTGGTTTTTTGATGCCTAGTTTCTTGAGTTCTTTATATACTTTGGACATCAGTCCTCTCTCAGATGTGGGGTTGCTGAAGATTTTTTCACATTTTGTAGGCTGCCGTTTTGTCCTATTGATGGTGTCTTTTGAATTACAGAAGCCTTTCAGTTTCATGAGGTCGCATTTATTAATTGCTGATTTTAGCGTCTGTGCTACTGGTCTTCTATTTAGAAAGTTTTCTCCTGTGCCAATGAGTTCAAGGCTATTTCCCACTTTCTCTTCTGTCAGGTTCAGTATAACTGGATTTGTGTTGAGGTCTTTGATCCACTTGTACTTGAGTTTTGTGCAGGGTGACAGATATAGATCTATTTGCATTCTTGTACATGTTGATATCCAGTTATGCCAGCACCATTTGTTGAAGATATTCTTTTTTTCCATTATATAATTTTGGCTTCTTTGTAAAAAAATCAAGTGTTCATAGGTGTGTGGATTTATGTTAGGGTTTTTGATTCCATTCCATTTGTCCACCTGTGTTGTGGACATCCTGCAGTCCTAGGTCTGTTTTAGGAGGCCACTTGTTTGTTTCCTGGCCGCCCAGACTCCTGGAATAACCACACAGAAACTGTATTATTTAAATCACTTCTTGGCCTATTAGCTCTAACTTCTTACATCTTAATTTAACCCATTTCCATTAATCTGTGTATCGCCACATAGTTGTGGCTTACTGGCAAGGTTCTGCATCTGTCTCTGTAGGTAGCTCTGTGGCTCCACCTCCTTCCTCCCAGCATTCAGTTTAGTTTCCCCCACCTACCTAAGTTCTGCCCTGCTCTGCTATAGGCTCAAAGCAGTCTCTTTATTAACCAATAGTATTCAGAGCATACAGAGGGGAATCCTATATCATAGGTTCACAGGAATGACCACCCCCACTCCTCAGGCCCCAGCAGATCTCCACCCCATCTGAAATCCTGTGCTTTTTTTTTTTTAAAGTTTCTTCATTCTTTGGATGTAGTCCAAAGTTGTCCTGTAGAAATGCTGTTGTTATTTATGTCTTTTTTTTTGAAACAGGGTCTGACTATGTAACCCAAGTTGTCCTTAAATCAGCAATCTTCTTGCTTCAGTTTTCCAAGTGCCAAGATTACAGTTATGTACCACAGCTCTGGCCTCTGGCCTCTTCATGAGGACTCAAAGACCTAATCTTAGGCCTTCTAGGTACTCTGAAGTCGCTCATGTTGTTCTACTCTGCATGCCGTTGTAACCTTTTTAGGACCTTTGTTTTTCCCAAAATTTAATATTATAAAAATAGTTATCATGGTTCATTCAATATTAACATGTAACTACCCATAATAAAATTTATTAGGGATAAGAGTGATACATTGAGATTCTTGTATTTGGGGTATTTTCAGATTATACAGATACATAATTGAGTTTTTAATCATGTATTTTCCATCCGACTAGGATTCTCCTACCTTTTATGCAATCATATGCAAGATCTGGAGGCTTTTCCATTACTGGAAAGATAAAAACAGCCCTGATTGAGAATGCGATCTATTATGGCACTTACTTGCTGATATTTGGAGCATTTCTAATTTATGTGGCTGTAAACCCACGTTTGCATTTAGAATGGTAAGAAAAGTAGTCTTTTTAACACTGTTCTATATATGTTCGTACTGTTTACAATGAACTTTTTGCATACATATAAGTAAACAGACACGCATGCTAGATTATATGTCTTACAGATACCCCTTAAGGAGTACCTGAATAATACATATTACTAAGAAAGAAAATGCAGAATGGCATGTTTAAGTATAACTATTATGTGATAGATTAATGTTTTGACAACCGTCTGGTAAAGAACATATTTTTAATAGAATTTCAAATTTTATAAATGCTCAAAAATGAATTTTCCCTCTATAGGAACTTACCTTTTTTTCTGTTTGCCTTGTTGTAATTTAACAGAATAGCTTTTCTTAATGTTATTTTAGGTTAATATATCTCAATAAATTAAATCCATTTTGTGAATATGATTTCTAATATGTATATTATCTCCAAATTTATATATAAAAGAGTAGAGATAGGTCTCGTTGTTGGTGTAAGTCAACCATAACACAAGTTAATTTAACTATTTATAGGGGTTTCTTACTTAATCTGATTTAGGAAGCACCTCGTGAAAAATGTTTTCTGTGGAGGAAATGTGTGTGCGCACACGCACATGTGTATGCGCTCTATGTATTATCCTATATTCTGATTTTGACTACAATTGAAGTAGTTTTTTCCATATTAAAGTCTATTTTTACAATCACACTGTCTTTACATTAAAATACATGGATTATCTGCTATGACTTAAAAGAGTTGAAAATTTCCTCATATGAAGTCCTACTTATCCTTTTGGACAGTTTTCTGAAATTTATATTTATCAGACATGTGCTTATATTTTCCTATTTTTTAGGAACCAACTTCAGACTATAGGGATAGCTGCTGCCAACACATGGGGTCTGTTTCTTCTTGTGTTGTTATTGGGGTATGGCTTGGTGGAGATTCCTCGATCATACTGGAATGGAGCCAAAAGGGGTTATCTACTCATGAAGACTTACTTTAAGGCAGCCAAACTGATGACAGAGAAAGCAGATGCGGAAGAGAACCTGGAGGATGTAATGGAGGTAAGCAAATTTAATTCTACAGAAGTAGTTCTGATTTAATACTCTGTCTCTATTGACTACAAATGGTGCCATGTGTGGTCTGTAAATGTTTTGTCAGAGTATTGATTAATTTTAACTTTTGTGGTAGATGACTATTTTATGATAGTAAATGCTAAAATAGGCTGTCATATATATGACATATATATATATATATATATATCTTTTATTTGTTGATAGTACTTAATTTGAAAAGTTGTTCATCATTTCTAGGTTGTGCTGATCCTTTGTGAATTTTATTAACTTGTCAGAGATTTAAAAAAATAATGCATGCAAGTAGGTTTGCATGGCTCAAATTCATTTTTCAGGTGTCACTTTATTTAATTCTTACAGTGTTACAAAATAGATTTTCTTTTTAATTCCTATTTTATAAATGAAGAAAATGAAGTCCTGAGAGTTGAAATAGCTTCCTTATGTACACACAACTAATAAGGGGAGCCAGGAGATGAAACTTTGGTTCACACTTTAACAGCAACCATGACCCTTTTTAAAATATGAAGAGCCAGATGGTTTCTATTGGGATTGCTTGGTCATTGTGGTCTGAAAGCAACTGTAGACTCTATGTAAATGAATGAGGGTAAAACTTGTGTCTCAGACTGTGAACAGGTGGGAGACTACTAGATTTGCTTTAGTTTGAAGACCCCTGATTCTTAACTATTATCCTTTTCTCTTTTCTGTCTCTGAGCCTTCTGTTCCCAACTTGCTTCATTTTTATGTCTTAAGAAACAAGAATTCTTCAGGAAGCATCTTATATTCGCAACATGGGGCTGCTATAACAAAAGTACCGCAGATTGGGTGGCTCAGACAGCCTTTTGTCCCTAAGAACATGGTTTCAAAGTCAGTGTCTTTTGAGAGCTGAGATGAACATTTTTATATTTAGTTTGATCTTTTAAGTATTTAAAGATTTATATTTAGTTAAACATTACATTTGATGAAAGAAGATAATTTTTTATTTGGTAATGTTCTGCCCTAAAGTTGGATTAAGTTCTTGCAGGTCTGAAGAATTTGAATTTTGCCAGTTCATTTACTGTTTCTTCAACACATACAAGTCAAATGTTTCAGTGTCTTTTGTTTATTTAGCAGTACTGAGGATTGAACCAAATGTGTCACTCACACTCAGTGGTTGTATACCATTGTACTGTATCCCCAACCTCTTCATTCATTTTTATTTTTTATTTCTTTCAAATAGTTACAGGTTTATGAAGTTTTCTATCTCGGCTATGAATTCACTTTGTACTTGTGATACAGCTGCCTCAGCATCCTGAGTAGCCGGGATTACAGGCCAGTTTAGATGAACCAAGAATGTCTGAATGAAATAGAGAAATGCTCTGTTATTAGAGAAGCGCCCTTAGGAGTAAGACAAGAAAATTAAAACCTGGCTTTGTGCCTCGCGTCTTATTTCAGTGTACTATTCATCAGCTGAAAGTGGTAGGGTTTAAATGTCTTGTATAAGAGAAAAATTTCCGTGTAAAAAAAAGAAGACATCCTTTTTTCCTATGCTTTCCTTCCTTCCCTTGCCTTCACCTCCTCTCTCCTTCCTATTCTTTCCCTGTCTGTCTGTCTTTCTTTCTTTCTTCCTTTGCTTTCTTTCTTTTTTTTTTTTTTAATTTGTGACAGTATCTTACTATGTCATTATGGTGTCCAGGGTGAGATCACAGGCCTGTACCACATACTGACTGATAGCATTCTTTTTTAATAGATGTTTTGAGAAAAAAAAACACAACTATTCTACATAGATAGCAGAACTGTGCCCATAACTATATTAACTGTCTAGAATAGAAGACTATACATTCATTCCTTTATGGAACATGATAAAAGTGGGTGGTATACTGGATGTGCTTCAATATGGAGAGGCTTCACAAAATCTCAAGAGAGATCAGAAAAAGATTTGACTAGGGGTTTAAAGAGTTGTTAGAATGTTAATAGCTAACAAGATTCTAGGCAAATACCAGAAAATTTAATGGATAAGGCGTTGGCCTCCTAAACAAGCTCATATTTCAAAGGCCTTCCAAACTTTAAAAATGAACTATTGAGTAAACCTTAAATTTATAACAAACAGCAAATGTGAAAAGTTAACTTTATCAGTCCCTGTCTTTGTTTAATCGGGCTAAATAATTTCAAGGGAAAGCATACTATTTCATATGTATAGTTAACATTTGAAGTAAATAAATTTGTACTAACTAAAAACTTTAGGGCAACTTAGAAATGGAAAGATATAATGTAATAGCATCTGGGGTGACCTTCAAAAATTGCTGCTATGCCCAGATCACATGCATATTTTCCATAGTAGCAAAGATGCTTGTAATCCTTGCTAAGTCAGGAAAGTGACTCCAAGGCCAGCCTGAGCTATATAGCAAATTCAAATCTAGAATGAACTATATATAGGGAAACCTTGTCTCAAAAAGTTGTAAAATAAGTAAAAAATCTAAAACTAAAGATTAAATCTAATTTTACCAGACATATATTTAGAACAAACATATCTCAAAATGAATTCTAGTAAGATTTCTGAGTAGTCTTGACTATTGTTTCTCCAGCCTGGTCACTCACTAGCCAAGCCTTTACTGTCCTTTTCTCTGTAGTTGTTCTGTTCTTCCTGATACAGCTCTCTCACTTCTGTCTGGAGACCTTGGTACTCACTGTCCTTGTCCCTTTGGAAATATTCTTGTTCTTTCTTTTAATTGACTGACGCTTACTCATTTTATTTTGTTTCACATTAAATGATCAGTTCATCAGAAAGACTCCTAAACTAAATTGTGCTCATTCAGAACATTCTGTACTTTTCTTTTATCTTTTTGTTTAATTGTCTGTTTTCCTCAGTAAGCTAAGTTCCTTACAGGAGCAGTGTCTGTTGATATCAATTATTCAGAGTATGCATACATTATATTTTCATTTTTCTGATAAATTACTCTCCAGATAGATCACTTTTTACTGTATATAATGTTGGTTTTGGTATGAGCCTATTCTATTACATGATAGAAATGTTCCATAACTTTATAAGAAAACTCATTTGGAATTTGGAATTTTTGGAACCATGAATATCCTTTTACATATTTATAGGTCAATTTTATTTTGTATTCTCATTTTTTTATGTTTGCTAGCAAGAAGGCTTCATATATTAAGATTACTCTGTCACATAAATTTTTTCATAATTTTCTTAGTATATCAGATGGTTTCTCTGCTTCTCATTGCCTGTCACTTAAAGCCCTTCTCGAATACTCCAGATGTTCTTTAAAAATATCCCTTTTGTTCTCTCTTTATTCCAGGACTAACATGCAGGGTTTTTGTTTTGTTTTGTTTTTCTATATATAGAATAGTGATTCTAATATTTTATTTCACAAATATCATGATACTGTGATTCCTAGGAAATACTAATTCCAAAGTTTCTGTGACTCTGTTTCTAACACCCCCCAGTGTGTGTGTGTGTGGTTTACTTGTTATTATGTGTCTTATGTGTATGCATTTGGAGTCCCAAGGTCTTTATTGCATATCTCTTGTTGATTGATATCCACTTTTATTTCTTGGAGATAGGGTATCTCCTGAAACTGAAGCACATTGATTCAACTAGACTGGCAGGCCAAAGCACTTCAGGGATCTCCCTGTCCCCACCTTCACAGTTCGGGGGGTTACAAGAGAGCATCACTAACTATTCTTGGCTTTTTACATGGGTTCTGGAGATATGAGCCAAGATACTCATGATAGTATGGCATTACTTTACTCACCGAGCCATTTCCATTTCCTCTTCCCTTTTATGCCTTTTAATACTCATTAGGATACTTATCACCATATGTTAATTTTAGTCAGTGAAATTGACTGATAATACCTTGTTCCATTGATTACTTTTCTCATTGCTGTGTTAAAATAACTGGGAAAAACAACTTACAGAAAGATGAGAGTATTTGGGCTTACAATTTGAGGGGGAAAGTCCATCATGGCAAGGAAGGTATGGTCATAGGCGTGTCAGGATGCAGGGTCTCCAGTCAGAAGGCAGAGCAAGAAATGTGGCTGCTTAGCTTACTTTCCCCTATTTATTCAGTCTAAGTTAAGATAGGTCTTCTCACCTCAATTAACCTAATGTAGAAAATCTTTTACAGACATGCTCACAGATCTGTCTCCAAGGTCATTCCAGATCTTGTCAAGTAGACACTCAGTGTAAGCCATCACAAGTCTACCCACTGCCAATGTGATATCCAAACATATCACTTTTAAGGCAGAACCTCCCACTCCTTGTCCTCATGGGTTCATAGTCATCTCATAAAGCAAAATTGATTAAGTCCATATTCAAATGTCTCCATAGTCTTTAACAGTTCCAGCATTGTTCAAAAGTGTAAGTGCAGAGTCTCTTCCGAGACTTGAACAATCTCTTAAATGTGAGTCCCTGTACAATCAAAAAGAAGTAAAAACATTTGGCGGCACACCCCAAAAGTAATGAATGGGGACATCATAAGGAAAGCTTATACTAAATCATAACCAGCAGGAAAATACTAACTCCTGTAGTTGCAAGCCAGGCATCTGGGGCTCATGGCAGAATTATCTGGGCTCAAAAGAGCTGCATAGCCCCTCTCCTCCAGCTCTGCCACTTGTAACACAGTCTTTCTCTTGGTATATGGCAGTGCTTTCCATGGTAGGTTTCCCATGGTCCTAGCATCTCCAACATCCTTGAGTTTCCATTTCAACTTAGGCTTCACCTTCACAGTTTGATACAGGTGGCCCCAGAGGGCCTTCTTTCAGGAAATCTGACCCTGCCACAATCTGCCTGACCTCACTTGTCTTCTGGAACCTATGCTCGTGCCTCTGTGATCCTTTCACTGTTTCCATCCTCCATGCCTATAAAACCTATACCATGTGAATGAAACAGCCATGTTCTGTTGCCAGGTCAAGATGAAGTCCAACCCGTTTTAGACCATTGCTGATGTAGTTTCTGTCTGATTAGACTTTTTCTGGAGTAGGAAACCCCTCTAGTGGCATTCTTAGTTCAGACTCCCTCTTTCTAAATGATTTTGCCTTTTCACAGGATCTTCAGTGTAAGGGTTCTTGTCCTCTGAACTTCTTCCCTAATCCCTCTAACTTTATAGTTCACACACTTTTCTTCACCAAACCCGAGCCATATCTTTTTGATCTCTCACCGTAGAATTGAATGAAAACAGTGAGCGATAGCCATGATACAACTTGAATGCTGTGCTGTCTTGAATTTCCTCCACTAAAGAACATAGTCCACATGGAATCCCAGCATAAATGGGAGAGGGGTTTTGAAGTCCCACTCATAGCTGAGGAGCTATTTTGGTAATTCATCCCTACAACAATAAGAGGAGTCAATTTTCTTCAAGGATATGGCCTCCGAGAGGCTACCCATACTCCCATAGATGTTCCTATTTCCATGTACAAATGGGAAGCACTAAGCGGACTCAGTGGATTTAAAAAAAAAAAAGCATATGAAGTTGGGAGGAAAAAGTGGCATAAGGGAGGAGTTAGAGTAGAGTAAGTGAGAGATGGATTTGACTAAAACACATTATATACATGTGTGAAATTCTCAAGCAATAAAGAAGTTAAATATGTAATTGAAGTCTTACCTAAGTTTACATATATTGTATTTACACTAAATAAAAAAAACTATTAAAGTAGTCTATTACCTTTTAATTCAGCCTCATCCAGTTTCTCAGGACATTTGCAGAATACAGCTAGATTCATTGCCAGAATGAAGCAAGCATGGTTTCTATCCTGATAGTGCCCTTGATCCTCTCTGAAACCTCATGAGTTGATGATCCTCCACATCTATGTGTCTCTCCATATTCTTGTATTTTGAACTCCCGCCAGAATGGTCTGTTAAACTTTGCTTATAGCAATTGAAGAACCTTTCCAGGCCACAGTTCCAAAGAGCCATGTGGTCAGATTATCACAGTAATGATCCCATTTCTACCAAATTTCTTTATTAGTTATTTTTCTTGCTACCATGATACAATACCTGAGGGTATTTAAGCAGTTTAAGAAAGAGAGGGAGGATTTTTTTTCTGGCTCACAGTTTTGTCTGAGGGTATGGTGCATCATGGCAGGGAAAACATGGCAGGAGAACACGGGATAGTTGTTCACATCATATCCACAGTCAGCAAGCTGAGAGCAATGAGGGCTTCTATTCGGCTAGCTTTCTCCTTTGAATGCACACTACAACCCCAGCCCGTGGAATGGTACTGCCTATATTTTGGTGACTCTTTCTACCACAGTTAACACAATGCTGATCCCCCACAGATGTGCTCAGAGATTTGTTTCTAAGGTGATTCTTGATGCTGGGGAGTTGGCAATGAATGTAGACTGTCACACATCTTCTCATCTTATGTGGTACTCTTTTAGCTAGCACCCTACCAACAGGCAGTGTGGCCTAAGTAAACAAGTAATAAGTCAGTGTGTTGTGGGTTCCCTAGAATACTATTATTGGGAAGCTGTGGGTACTTTATGAAACATTAAGTGATGTTATTGATAATGAGATAATTAATTTTGATCAGCAGTATAGATTCTAACCCAGTTCTCTTAGAAACATAAAAGTTAACAGATCCTTTTTGAATTCTTACCATTTCTTTTATTTTTTGAGATTATAATATAATTATATCATTTATCCCTTCCCTTTCTTCCCTCCAACCATTCCCATTCCCAGTTGTCCCTCTTTTCTCTCTTTCAAATTTATGGTGTCTTTTTTTTTTTAAAAAAAGAACTAATTGTTGTTACATACATTTGTTGTTGAACATGTGCATGTGTGTGTATGTGTGTGTGTGTGTGTGTATGTGTGTGTGTGTGTGATATCATATCTATTCTAAATACAAGCTGCTTAGTCTGTATAATGTTATTTGTATTTAGGACTTCGCTACTGACCATTTGGTATTGGATAACCAGTTGGTGTGCTCTTTCTTCCCTGGAAAGATTTATTCACCGCACTCTTAGCATTCCTTAGTTGCCTCTAGTTCTTTGTGTAGGGCTGAGGCTTCGTGATATTCCCGTGCACATTCGAATGCCTGTGGTTGTTGTCCTTATTCAGCTCGTGTTTATGCAGTCATATTCGTGAGACTTTATGGGTGTAACTTCTGACAATCCTAGGAGACACAACCTCACAACTCTTTGATCTTCTGCCCCTTGTAGTCTTTCTGTCATCTCCCCATCCCACCCTCACCCCCATCCACCCTCCTCCCATGCCCCATCTACAGTGATGTACCCCTTGGGACTTTGCTCTAAACTATACATTTGATTCGTTGTGGTTTTCTATTGCAACGAGAAGTATCTTTGATGAGGGGTGAGGACTCCATTTGACTGTGCTTATTAGGAAAGTTGGTATCTTGCCATGCCCTTCATTGTCATGGTTCATAGGCATCATGGCTGAGTAAGACTGTTGATTGCTTCTGCCCTTTGGAAGCTTTCATGGCATCTTCTGCCCTTTGGAAGCTTTCATGGCATGTCCTCAAGGATGAGGTTTTCAAATCAATTCTAGTTTAGGGGCTTCTGAGCCCTGTGTCCAAAGTGCAGGGTGTTTTCAGCAATAGGGATTTAAAAGTGCTAACAATAGCCTAATCCTGACCAAAAAATTAAAACGGGACTTCTCATATCTGTTAAGGTATTTGTTAGAGATCTTTGGCTCTTAGAGGGAGCATTGTGAGCCTGGATGAGAAAATTTCATTTAATACACACACACACACACACACACACACACACACACACACACACACGTATTACATATTTTTGAACTGCTAAATAATACTTAGCATTTATTGTATGAAATAAGCAAGCCGTAGAGAATAAATTTAGAAATTTATAAAATAGCAAGAATATAAATACAACTATTTGAATACTTCATAATTTTATACCTCCTCTTAATAACTTCTATTCTGTGAAAAGACTTTTTCTTTCTGGAAAAGACTTTTTATAATGCTAAATAATTTGTGTTGACTCCTCTTAATAACTTTTATTCTGTGAAAAGACTTTTTCTTTCTGGAAAAGACTTTTTATAATGCTAAATAATTTGTGTTGAAGTTAAAAATCTGAGACTTAATAGTATTTAGTGCTATTATCATTTAAGAAGAGAAACCTAAATATTTTTATTTTTCTCACTGTTTTTATAGGAGGTTCGTAAAGTAAATGAAAGCATTAAGTATAACCACCCACTGAGAAAATGTGTTGATACGATACTTAAAAAGGTAATCATTATATATATTCCCTCAATTTCTAGTGCATATATCTTATATACTACTATAAATTAATATTTCACATAGGAAAATATGGTAAAAAGCATATGACTGAGGTTTTCCAGATGGACTTTAATATAAATCTTTACCATAAACACAGTCAATTATATGTAGAGTTTTTCTTATACTATTGTAAGTTTGATGGTAATTGACAGCATTTTCCCTTGAAGTGTGAAGATAGCAGTAATGTTGCAACCAGCTTCTCACATGTAATTTTATGATAATTACTATGAAATAAATTACATGGATAATTAATAGATAGGCCATAGTGCTATGATTTTGATGGAGGTGTATTGAATTGCGAGTATATTTGTATGCTTCTGAAATAATTATTTGAAAAGTTCCACAATTACCTTTATGTGCCCAAGTTACCACTGAATTTTTTCTTTTCCTGTGTTCTAAATGTTTCTACTGGTTATTATTAGCTTCTGTTCCTTTAGCTAAAGTCATAGTCATAAGAATAAATTTTCTAACCATTTCTCTCATTTGTTACTTTATTTAAAGATTTACTTATTATATATACAATGTTTTACCTGCAGATCTCATTATAGATAGCTGTGAGCCACCATAAGATTGCTGGGAATTGAACTCAGGACTTCGCATACTGTGGCTTTTCAGAACTTTAGCACGTTAAATTTTTTATGATTCTTTTTTATTATTTGGGAAAATAATTGAAGTTTCATCAAGTGCCTGTTATTAGAATAATCCTCTCAATAGTAGTTACTTCATATAGGTATGCTTCCCTTGCCTTTCCCAGTCTCCAGGGAGTAGTATATCTAAGCATAAAGATAAATATTAGAAGTGAAAAGAAACTCAACATTCCTTTGAAATATTTCTTTTGAAAATGTTACCTAGTGAAAAATATTAACAATTAGAGATGTCAATAAAAGAAGAAAATGTTTTTGAGAAAATTAAAAATTTCCAGAATGAAGAATTTTTAATAAAGTTTTTATTAAGATTTATTAAATTTTTATTAAAGATATATTAAGATTTTATAAAATGATTTTCTTTTAGTGCCCTACAGATTATCAGGAAAAGATGGGTAGAAATATGGATGATTATGAAGATTTTGATGAAAAGCGTAATACCTATCCAAGCGAAAAAAGTTTGGTAAAATTGCATAAACAGGTAACCTTAATTATTAATTGTAGCTATTTTACATACAATTAGAAATGTGAATTAGGTTTATAATTATTGCTAGGTTGAAAGGCTCTGTGCATGTTGACTTGGCAGTTAAACTGCTTGCAACTCAAGTCCGAGAAACTGAACTTAGTCTCCAATACCTATATAAAAAGCCAAGCATAGTGGTGTGTACCTGTTCTTAGTGCTTGGGAGGCAGAGCTAAGCAGACCTCTAGCCAGGTAGGTTAGCCTAATCTGCTAGAGCCAGGTTCAGTGAGAGACCATGTGTCAAAAACTAAGGTAGAGAATTGGATAAGACACTTGATATTGACTTCTGCCTCCCACATGCCCAAAATTATACATGCAAGCACCCCCGACCCCAAATGTGTGTGTATGCAAATGAAATATATATCCCAAACTATTGATCTTATTATTGTTAAAATGTTTTAACTTTGTGTTTCTGGACAAGGGTACTAATGGCAGTTGGATATAAGAGTTACACCTGTTCTGTTATGAGAAAGTATTATGTCATTTCAAAATATTAATATCTTTGTCATTTGGGAAATCCCATTAATACTACCTTATGAAGATAAAGACAAAAAACTCCCATTCTCCAGCAAAAAGTTGACCTACTGTTTAGTTATGCTGACCGGCTTATCCCTTTTTTGTTTTTAAGGTCATTTATTCAGTTCAAAGGCACCGTCGAACTCAAGTGCAATGGCAAATTCTTTTGGAACAGGCATTCTATCTAGAAGATGTAGCAAAAAATGAAACTAGTGCAACTCATCAATTTGTTCACACCTTTCAGTCACCCGAACCAGAAAATCGATTTATCCAATATTTTTACAATCCTACAGTTGGTATGTAATTTGACATAAATTTCAAAGTTAATAATTTTTCTACAAGGAAAATGTATGTTTCATCAATTTAATACTGACTTTTGTTTGTATACTAATTTGCTCCTGGAGTAATATTAGCTATCTGATAATCTTATAATTATTTTACTTCTAATTCTCCATTTTCTAGAAGTCATTGGTTGCTTGAATTGGTTCTTTGTCTAAGGGTGGGACCCCGGGACACTTTCCCTCTTCTGAGTTAGCACGTCTATTGATGTAACCATTGTTCCAGTTTTGTTGCTCCAGCCATTTATAGGAGCAACTATAAATGTTTCACCACAGACTTCCTGGTATTCTGGTTTTTACAATCTTTCTGCTTCCTCTCCCATGATGTTCCTGAGCCATAGATACAGGAGCTGTGATATATTAAAAAAAGGATTTATAGATAAAGTATTTGTTTACAAAATAGGCTATAATTTCATATAATTTTTGGAAGCTGTTGGAAATATCTATTCTCACTAACAATGAATCTCAGTATAAATGTTTATCTTGGCTTGGACTATTGATAATATAAAACTTTATTAGTTAGCTATACTTTGAAAACTGAGCATTCTGAATATTAACAGAAATTCCTACAAATTCATCAACAGTATTTAAAATATTGTCTCCTTAATATTTGGTAGAATTTCTCTCAACACAATGATTATTTTTAAAATGTTTTTGAGATTTCAAATATATTTATGCCTATGATTTTAAATACAATTATAAATAAATTTGCATACATGACTAAATATGCTTAGAGAGCAAAAATAAATAAATACATACATACTAAAAACTTGAAATGTAGCTTATAATTGAGGAATAACATCACAGAGAGGAGAATTCCTGAAGCCATGCAGAACTCTGGAGCAGTATTCATAGATGATGGAGATGAGATAGGAAATGTGAACAGTAAACAGAATAGCCTTACTTGCATTAGGAGGTGAGACAGACAGGCATATAGCTTTAGTGTAAGTGAGAAAATGCAATGGTAAAAATGCTGGTCAGTCTTCTGACTGTTTATACTCTCTTAGGAATGCATTGCCAGTAAACACAGAGAAGGAGTTTTCAAGAAGGCACAGAATAGTCATGTGGGAAATGGTGTGGAAGACAATGGAGAATGACAGCAATCTGTCCCGGTGTGCTATGGGCCTGTTTGAAGCTGGTGGTAATCTGAAGTGAGAGTAGTCAGTAAAGGTGTGTCTTTCTTCTGCAGTGTACATGTACACAGACTCAGAGCAACCAAGGAGTTGGCTCAAGCTATGTGGTTTAACCAAACAAGTGCAGTGAAGCTAGAAAAGGTAAAAAAATTGGGGCTGGAGAGTAGTTATCCTCAAAGACTGTGGAATCTGAGCTGGAAAAGGAAGGAAGGACTTTAAAATTTTTCAATAACAGTAGAGTGATGGAAGAATAAATGTTCTGTTTGTTCTGGTAGTCTGTCAGTATGGTTGGATACAGATGAAGGTACCGCTTGAGGATGAGGATGATGGAAGGAATTGGGCTCTATAGAAAGGTTGCTGTTGTTAGCAATAAATGGTTAAGAAAGACCACTGGAATGAGTAATCTGGGTAAAAAGGAGTGTTAAAGGATGAGCTCATTTAAAGAGAGGACTGACGGCAATGAAAAAGAATCATCTGTGCAGATGCTTAAATAGTCAGGAATTACGCTGAGAGTGTAGTGGAAAAGACAGTGAGCCTGGACTCTGTATTTTATATCATCGATGTTGATGGACAGAATAGGCTAGTTCTTTACTGGCTGTCCCCAAATTGGACTTTGCCATGTCCTCATGACTAGATCCAGCTCGTGTGTCATTGGCAGGACTACCACAAAGGCATGTCCTGCCCTCCTCAGTGCATCTGAGCAGGAAGCACATGGGCTATCATCAGTTTGCACACTGCTGTTGATCATGTCTCTTCCTTCACTGTGAAGTTGCTACCGTTTCCTGTGCTGTCTGGTTGCTGCTAGTTTGAAGACTATAAATATTCTATTACTGATTTACTTTCCTAATTGTCTTTTTTTTTTTTTGTATTTTCCAGAATGGTACTGGGAATGCCTGTTGCGTCCATGGTTTCACAGGATCCTTGCTGTGGTTTTGTCCGTCTTCTCGGTGATTGTTGTGTGGTCAGAGTGCACCTTCTTTAGCACGACTCCTGTCTTATCTCTCTTTGCAGTCTTCATACAGCTGGCAGAAAAAACATACAATTATATTTATATTGAGGTCAGTTTTTCATATTCTCCGTAAATACATATCAGTTCATGCAGAAACTTTAACTGTTGTATCTTTTCCCATGTTTCTTCTAGTAAGAATGAAAGTAGTAGTTTCCCACTGTGCTATTATTCAGACTTCCAAAACTGATGTTCATCAATTTTACCCAGATTACAAATACTAGGAATTGTAGTTGAACATCAATAAAAAAAGTACAGGAGAGTGATAAAGCATTTTATGAGGTTACTTTGATCCTCTTTTGTCAGTGAAACTATGCAGCTTACTGTCCTCCTGTAGAGCTGTCAAGAGAATAGGTAAAACAGTTTCCTTCAGGGCTCAGAGTCAAATTTTGGATTTAGGAGGTTGAACTGGTTGAAATGTAGATATATTTTTAAAATTTCATCTTTGCTATTAAAAATAGACACTATTGATGTATTTATATTTTAGGACATCAGTAAATATAGCTGGGACAAATGATAATTTTGTGACAGTAAATAAAGTAATAAAGTCTTAAATCAGATCTTAACTATTTTTTCCAGATTGCTTGCTTCCTTTCCATCTTCTTCTTAAGTATCTGTGTTTACTCTACTGTGTTCAGGATTAGAGTATTTAATTACTACTACTTGGCCTCACATCATCAGACTGATGCTTACAGCCTTCTTTTCAGCGGCATGTGAGTAGAATTGAGCTTAGGATAAAGAATGTTTTCCATTTTAAGTGCTAATGATAGATCTCTTATTTCTTGTTCACGGATGTTGCATGAACATACATTTCTGTGAACTGTTTTTTTTCTTTTTTTTAAACTATGAAATGGGTATTTGTAATCACTAACTAAGTCCTGTTTGAAGTTTATGGCTTAATTATGAGCACTATGTTGGAAAAAACACACAGCCTGAATTCACCAATTTGGAAGTTAGTATATGAACAATTGAGTTTAGAGGCTATGTTAGATGTAGACAATGTTCTGAAACTCGGTGGCCTAAAACTGAAGTTCTAAGGACACTAAGAGAAACATTTCTTTCCTAGAGAAATTTAGAGGTCTGGCTTTAGCTACAGGCAATCAATCTAGGCTGTTATTAGTCAGGTATATTAGATATTTATAAGACTCAAAGTAATGTCTGTCTGTGTTCAGCATTCTGCCTGCATGTGTGCCTGCAGGCCAGAAGAGGGCAGCACATCTCATTACAGATGGTTGTGAGCCATCATATGGTTGTCAGAAATTGAACTCAGGGCCTTTAGAAAAACCAGCAGTACTCTTGACCACTGAACCATCTCTCCACCCCACCCCACCCCCCGGTGTCAAAATTTTGTCTTACAAAGAAAAAAATCAAAGCCACTGGGTTAGTTTCTTGTGGCTGTTACAAAATACATGTTACAAACAACTTAAGGGAAGAAATATTTATTATGTCTAATGGTTTCAGAGACTTTAGTCTACCGTTACTTGTTATTGATTGTTTTGGACCTGAAGTGAGGCTAAAAATGGCAAAGAGAGTGTATTGGAGCAGTGCTATCCAGCTCATGGTACTTAGGAAGCAAAGACAGACTAATAGGACCCCAAACATATCTTCCCATTCATAACACCAGGCAACCTGCTTCTTCTAGGTAGGCCCTACCTCCTAAATGTTACACCACCCAATAAAACAGAGCCACACAGTGAAGATAAACCCTTCAACAAATGAGCCTATGGCATTCGTTTCATATTTAAGCTATAGCTTAATATTTTTAGAAAGTTACAGATACACTGTGTAACCTTCCTCAAGCTTTTCATCATGATTACATTGTAGTTGCTGTACACTACCAAACTAGGAAATTTACATTGCATATTACTGTTAGCAGCACTATGGACTTTAATTAGTTCTTACATTTCATCCTTCATTTGTTTGTAGAGTCCTACAGTGATCACCACCTACACAAATCTTTTTCTCACTACAAAAGAACTCTTGTCAATATTACCTCCTTATATTTAAACCTTTCCATTCTCCCAGCCCCAAGTTCCCCAAGTTCTAGCAATGTAAGATACTCATTTTATACTTGAAATTAGCCAGAATGCAGTTAAGTATATAGGCACTTGTGTTCTTAAAGGAAATGTGATTAATAGGATTTCAGAATGTGTTCCCAGTAAGGGCAGTTCACATAGATAATTAAACTATGTATAATATGCAAGTAGATAAAAATTATAAGTAGAATGATCTGAAATGTTTTAATACATTTCACTATAATATAAATGTGTTTTAAAATATATATGTTGGTACTTTTAAATGTTTATTGTAGGTTATTTTGCCGTTTGACTCCCCCTTTATGTCTTAATTTCTTGGGATTGACCCATATGGATTCATCCATCTCTCACCAGAATACCCAGCCCACTGCATATACATCTGTAAGTATGACTCTTTAGGTTCATTATCTGTGTCAGGTGTTGTTATGAGTCATCTTCTATTGTCAGTAGACAGGCTCAGTAGCATTATGAAACTCCTTTTTATCACTAAAGCCTTTGCTTAAAGGTTATGATTGTAATTACTAATGATGGGATTAAAGTGATTTTCCTTTTAGAGTTATAAAAAATGTTTTTCCTTCATATAGATTTCTTAGATGCACTGCATTAGAAACCTGCTTCATAGTAGCATTAGCATTTATATGTATATTCTTAATGCCCATGGTTTTGTAGTAGTTGTAAAATACTAAACTTCTAAAAAGCCTTAACAGAAAAAAGTTTAAGAAATGCATACCACTTCATGCTTTGTTTCTAAATTTTGAGAAGTCTAGTTTGTTGATATATTTTCATGTGGGTGAATTTTCTAATGATGGAAAGGAATGAAAATACGGAACTATGCTGATTTAACTCTTCTCTTGCTCTTCAGATCATGGGTTCCATGAAAGTTTTATCCTTTATTGCAGATGGATTCTATATATATTATCCTATGTTGGTGGTAATTCTCTGCATTGCTACATATTTTAGGTAGGAAACTTAACGTTTCTTTTTCTCATGCCCTTAGTTGGATATGGATATCCTTTCTCCTAAAACACCATTGAGTATTTACTGACTTGGTTTTAGTTGTTTGTGTTTTAGAAGGTTGTGGAAACTGGGATAGTTTGAAGGCCTCATTTGAGTGTTTGAGTCATTCTGTTATAGTTATGTAGGCTACAGAGTGATAAGATTAATTGCAGGGTGCTAATTCTAAAGTCCTGGACTGTGATACTGACAACCAGCATGGTATATAATACCCCTTCACATCTAGCTTCTTTATAGTAACACAATTTAGTTTTGGGGTTTTTTCCATATAATTGTTGCTGGGTTTCCAAATCCTGCAGATGATAGCCAACACAAAGGGTCAGGTGGGGAGCACTTATAATCAGATCATATGTATAAAGTTGAAAGAGAAATACTTCTCTATGTCTAGAAGGTGCGTGGGCTACTACTCTTCTTGTGGGCTCAGAGAAGATTATAGAATCTTGGTAAAGGTAAGATTCAAAAAGGTTAAAGCTAATGTAGTAATGGACTCATATGAGCCACAGTTACCCATACAAGACTCATAACAAGATCAAGCCAGCAATAGTTCCTGCAGAGATGGGAATCGATCTCTAGGCCCCGCCCTTCCCGAGGATCATTTGGCAGTTGATAAATGATCTATCTGGAAGGGAGACATTCTTCTTTGAGGCTGAGGTAGGTTTCCCATGCTCTGTGGCTGGCCCTACATCTATGCATATGTAAAGTTAGGTGGAGAGGTATTTGGAAGAATGGAGAGAGTTAAAAGGGGTAAAGTCTGGATTATAAATAATCATATTCATTGTGTACATGTACAAAATTCTCAATAAAAAGAGTTAATGGAAAGGTATGCTTGCTTTAGCACCTTTTCTCTCTACTTTCTCATATGTATTCCTCACCCCTGCTTACTGCTTCAATGTCTCAAGATATGTCCAAATTTATGAAAACTCTTCATTAATTTAGATTAATTTTCTTTTCAAATGAAAGTGTTACTAACTTACTTAAGTCCTATATTGTTAGTGCATAAATATTATAAATAACATATTAACATACTAATAGTAGGTTAATAAGGAATCATATTTAAATTCTCTACTATCAAAAAGTAAAAAAAATTTACTTTTTGATAAACAAAATAGCTAAAAGATTATAATTGAAAACATGTCTTAGCTGAGCATCATGGCACATGTCTACAGTTCTAAGGTTTTGTAGGCTAACACAGGAGGATCTCAAGTTCAAAATCAGTATGGACTACAGCAAGATCCTGTTTTAAGAGAAAAACATAAACTAAAGTAAAATAAAAACATTAATACAAGCTTACACTAAGCTAGTGTTTTGAGTTTTGCCTTTAGGATAGAAAAAATAGAAGACTTTATATGTTTAATGCTGTTTTGATTATATGTTTACTCATTTAAAACTTCTATAATAGTGTTAATGGAACATCATGAGTTTAAGTACTTCTTTTCCTGTTAATTGTCATATTGGGAATGTTAGCATTTTGAGATGAAATGGCTCTATGACTCAAAATAATATGAATTAGGATAATATTTTGTCAAATATTAAATCCTAATATAAGAAGTCAGAAAGAAGATTGTTGAAAAATAATCATTATGGGGCTGGAAATATAGCTTAGTGATGTGTTATCTAGAATGCCCGACACCCTAGGTTTAATCCCCGGTAGCATTCACAGACACACACAGACACACACACACGAAAAGGTGTCTCTCTAAACTAGGAATGGTGGTGTGTGTTGGAAGCGAGCAGCAGGAAGATCCTGCCTTTTGAGAATAGCCTGAACTGCGCATAGTGATCTTAACGTGATAATGTGAGTTTGTCTCAGAGAAAACAGAAGCTTTACTCAAAGCCATGCATGCATTCTTCTTATGTGTGTTCTGAGTTAGCCAGATATTTACACATTTCTTAGTATAAACCAGCGATTTTCACTTCATCAACTGTTTTGCTTTCTTCACACACGCATTTCTCCCGTCCCTCAGATGTGTTTCTATACATATAAAAGTAAATACTGATTTCTGAGGGTTATGTAAGGCTTAAATATGAGTGAATTGTCTGATTCACAGTAGGATTTTAGCAGTATCAATTTTACCTGTCCATCTCTTGCTTCCTTCCTTGTGTACCATATCTTAAAGTGTTCTTATCCTATGTGATAAAATGCCAAATAACATTTCAAGTAATTAGCCTCTAGATAAGATACAATGATCATTTATAGTATATAATAGAAACTTTAATATTTGAGGGAAAACAAAGCATAACTTTAAAGTTTGCATAATTGAGGTTTTTCCAAGCCAAGCAGAGTGTATTAAGCTTGTAATCACAACCCTTGAGAGACTGAGGAAGGAGAGTCACCATGAGTTTGAGGTCAGCCTATTCCAAATAGTGAATTCTAGGACATCCAGAACTTCAGTGTGGCACCATGTCTCAGAAGCCAAAAGATTTTCTAAACAAGAAATCTTTGTATGTAGAGATACTGATTTTTATCTGTACATTTTGGTATTATAACTTCTCTTTGAATATTTTAAAAAGAACAAGTTGATTTTTATTATATCCATTGTTTAGCATTCTGGTATACTTATTTTCTAAAGATGTGCTGATAGTTTTCCAGTTTACTTCTGTATAAATATAAGAAGTCTACTGAGTGAAATATGTAACATAAAGTTTGTTTTGTTTTGTTTTAAGATAAAGTTTCACTATAGCCTCAGCTGGCTTTAAATTCATAACAGTCATTCTGCCTCAGTCCACCAAATATTGCGATTATAGACATGAAACTTCACACAAGGGTGGACATAAGCATTTTTTAAAAAGAGAAAGAAGGACTGTGTAAAGATTAACTAACTGCATTATTATGCAGTTTGCCCTGATAACTAATAATCATGGTTTCTATGGGGGTGACAGTGATAAAGAACAATTTATCAAAGTATTTATGAGGTGAAATAATACTGTTTTGAAATCTGCTTCCATTAGTTTGGGAACCCGTTGTTTGAATCTGCTTGGTTTCCAGCAGTTCATGGGAGATAATGATATGACATCAGATCTAGTTGATGAAGGAAAAGAATTAATCAGACGAGGTAAGATTTGTCATTTAAAAAAAAATAAAGGGGCAGTTTTAGGTGCTAAGATTCAAATGCAAAATTAATGTTTGTAAAATTTGAGTGTAATTTTTATCTACTTAAAGAAACACAGCAGACTTTTTTTTCCTAATACTTGGTGGCCTCATCCAGCCTTAATATGAGGGGATGTACCTAGTCTTGTTATAACTTAATATGCCATGTTTGGTTGATATCCCTTGGAGGCCTGCCCTTTTATGAAGAGAAAGGAAGAGGAGTAGATCTGTGGGAGTGGGGAGGTTGCGGGGAGGGGTGGCATGGAGAGGAGAGAGGGGAAACTGCATTTAGGATGTAATATATAAGAGAAGAATAAAAAAATACATACATAAACATTCTTTAATTAAAAAAGAAATATAGTGGCATAACCTAATATATATATATATGTTTTTCTCCAGAAAGATATTTGAAAATATAATGTAAGATTTATTGTGAAGAAATTCTGCAGTGTAAATTATTAGTTTATCTACAACTAGATAATAACTGCTTATGGTCTTGGAGTTTGTTACAAAATACCTGGGATAGTTTGCAGGGAAGAAATACAGTTTATTTTAATTCCCTGTGTAATATATCATGGAAGAGAACAAGCCAGTTTATGACAGAGAAGCAATGAGAGACATAGGAAGGAACTGTGGTCCCAGTAGTCTCTTCAGTCTCTGCCAGTGACTTAACTTTTTTCCACTGGATCCTCTCTTTGAAGGCTCTGTCGCCTACCAACAGAAGCACAACCTGGTGAACAAGACTTTAGGGAATCTATCCAAGATCCAAACCATAGTAGAGTTGTTGTCTTTGTCCTGAAACATATTTGCCAAATTCTATACAACCATGAGGCTCATTAATTTAGTTATTAGTTTGCTGCTATGTGGGAAATTATTCAAACTGTTTTTTTTTCACTCTTGGCATATAATGATCATTGGTATGAGAATGTGAGTACTATTAAAATACATAGAGCTTTTCTAAAACCCACTCACAAAGTGGAATGTATTAAGTTTTCTTTTGTTCAAGTGATGGTAGGATGGGTGGAAAACCTTGATTTGGGGACATTATTTCATAGTCTCCAGAATCTTGCTTTCACATGCATTCCTAGGAAGGTAGTGTCTATTTGATCTGATATTTGTATTTGGCATAGCACTCCCTTCCTAATATTGATAAGACTGGTAAGTTGGGAGATACTGAGAGAATGACTGATAAAATCACCACTCTGTAGACTCTATCTTAAGGGGCATAGAGCCCCTAGCACTGCATGTATAACCTGAAGACCTTATATGAGAACAGAATTATACAGAAAGTATAAAGTTAGCATAGAAGAAGAGTTCAAAACAAGAATAGAAACTACAGAAAAACAAATTTCAGATCATCCTGAGGAAAGAGAGCTAACAGTAGACAGGGTACAAAGCCATCTCTAGCAAAAACAGGAAACATCAGCTATGTCATGAGGGAACTCTCAGGCCCTCTTTAACAGTAAGTAACCTGTTGATTTTATTTTGTAGTAAGCTGTGGGTATCATAGTCTGTTCTCCTTGCTTCGGTTACTTTGTATTTAAGTAAACAGTATTCAAATTTGAGGCCATTTTTCTTATCTTTAGAGAAAAGAAAAAGACAAAGGCAAGAGGAAGGTGAAAATCGAAGAAGAGTAAGTACAATATTTTATTAAATTGCTGTTAACTGTAATATCTAGGAAACACCAAAAGAATATTACTTGGAGTAAATGATTAAAGATGAAAAATAATAAACAAATGGCAAAAGATTTTTTTTCCCTTTACTGTGTATGAGTGTTTTGCCTGAGTGCAAGTCTTTGTGCCATGTGCATACCTGGTGACCAGAGTGCATAAAAGGGCATTTGTCACCTAGAACTGGAATTACAGATGGCTAAGAATTGAATCCTAATCACTTGGAAGAGCAACAAGTACTCTTAACTAATAAGCCATCTCTCCATCCCTGGATGTATTTTTGAAGAAGGAAAATTTTAATGCTTTTACATACACACATTATCCTGCCAGATTTGTTCTTTGAAAAAGTCATTAGTAGTAACTTGAGTCTAACATCCATCAGTTTGTTGCATACAATCACTGTTCATTCAATGAATGAATTCATGAAGCCTTGATAATAAAGAAAATTGGATTGCTTTACAATTAATATGCTTTTTAAAATATGGCATTTATATTTTCCTTTTGAATTCCTTGTAAGCCCTCTATTTGCTGAAGCAAATCTTTTTGAGAGGGTGAAAAACAAAGAAGAAAATCTATTCACAATTTCTACAATATTTTGACACTAATGTATTTGCCCTAGAAAGTAGCTAAGAAAAGATGTCATAATTGTCTTTGTATGTTCTAGTATATACCATGTAAAAAGAGAATTGCATATTGGGCATAATGTACATGCCTTTATCCCAGCACAGAGGCAGACAGAGGCTCAGTCAGCCTGGGCTACATAACACTAGGGCATAATGAGAATCTGTCTCAAAATAAATAAATATTTTAAAAAGATAGATTTGTTTTTTATTTCATAATTAGAACCAAACAGTAAAAATAGAGTTCACCTTCTATTAGGACAGTGATTCTCAACCTGTGGGTCACGGCCCCTGGAGGTTAACAACTCTTTCATGGGTGTCACCTATTAGATATTTACATTACAATTCTTAACAGTTTCAAAACTACAATTATAAAGTAGCAATGGAAATAATTTTATGGTTAGGGTCACCACAACATGAGTAACCCAGCATTAGGAAGGCTGAGAACCCCTGTATTAGGATTTCTAACTTCCAGTTTACCAGTTTGTAATAGACTGACTACATATACATAAAATATAATGTATCCAAAGTGCCAAATTGTCTGCCATGAATTGCTTGTATCCCTGCTTGTACAAAACAGTGAATAGGTGGCTTTCAAATGACCATTCCGATTAAATAAGTATAATGTATGGAATTTCATTTAATGAGATCGTGCTGTCTTTCATGATAACTCCTATCTGTACGAGTCAGTTTTATTATACTGTATACAGCCTTACTTTGTTATCAAAAATGACTTACCAGATCTCTAGTATTTGTAGCTTGCTCAAGTAAAAGTATATTACATCATAACTTTTACATGATCAAAGTAAGCTTCCTATTATTGTAATATTTTTGATGTTTTAGATAGAATAATGTGCTAATATAATCATAAATGTTTTGTTTAAATTAAAAGTTGTAAAAATTGATTCTAAAGACACCATTAAAATTATATTGATTTCTGATGAAAGATTGTAATACTCTGCATATACAATGTTGACAGTGTAACTTTTTGTTATATATTTTATTGGGTTTCTTCTCTAGGAATGGAAAGAACGTTATGGACACAACAGAGAAGATTCCACTAGGAACAGAAATGTTCACTCTGACCCCAAAGAGTCGAATTTCTCAGATACTACTACCAATTGGTGTAAGTAGTTTATTTTATAGTTTGCTTAGGGATCATTTTCCTAATGTTTGTGTTATATAGAAACTGAAACTGTACTCATCCCTGGATTCACTAATATGTCTACAGTGACTTATCTTTATCATAGTCCTTAGTGTGTATAAGAAAGGGGAAATGGGACATCAAATAAGTAGTTGTAAGTATATGAATCTAAATAACCAAATTATTTATAAGGCATGTTCTAGGGGGGTACTTATTACTATTTATTTTATTGCTTTTCTTCTGATTGATGTAAGTTATTCATTTATTTTTATAGGTATTGGCTGACTCATATTCAAATGCTTTCCCATATGTACAGTGAGAGAAAAGTTTTTTTAGTTTTTTTTTTCTTCCCAGAATGTTCATAATTTAGGGAAGGACTAAAGTTAGGTTTAAGTCCTCTACCACTGGTGTGTGTTAAGAAACCTCCGTGTGTCACTGACACAAGGAAGAAACAAGTTCTCTCTACCCTTGGGAAGATGCCAGGAGCTCTGTTTTTGCACAGGACTTTACACTGTGTAGGAGGCAAAGGTTTGTCTTTGGGGAGGATGAAATATTGCTGAAGGAGCAACATTGCCAAGAATTGAGATGTTTTTGAGAATGAGCTGAAGCAGGAAATCTGATCATCCTTTCCCACCCAGCTGCTCAATTACACAGCACGAATGTGCTGTTAGAGGAAGACTAGAAGCACAGGTGTCCTTCTAATGGTCTGAGAGTGGCAACAAGTACCGAGAACATCCATTTATACTTGAGTGCCATCTAAACTCAACGAAATCTGGAATGTATAGACTTAAGAGAACTAAGGAAGAGTCCAAATTCACAATAAGTACACATTAGATAATTCCATCCCTCAACACCAATGACCCAATTAAAAGAGATGTGTCCCATTCTGAGCATAACTGTTACTTAACTTCTATATTGTTTTAAATGTCTGGTCTTTAACAAAAAGTTCTGAGGTATATAAGAAAGTAAAATATGAGCCATTTTCAAAATATGAAAAAACAAACATACTAGGCCTTAAGAAGTAACTAAAATTTTAGAATTATCAGCCAGTTCATTGATGAAAATAACAAATTAGTATGCTAAAAGATATAGTGGGGAGTTTGGTTAATATGCATAAAGAGAAGAAGAGAAGGAATTTTTACCAGACAGCTGGAAATTATATAAAGGAGCTAAATGGAATTACTAGAGATATTTTGATAGCAGACTCCAATGATGTTGCAGATGTCTCATGAGAGTTGTTACCAAAGAGTATATACCTGATGCTAAAGGAAATACCTGGGGGGAGTAAAAAAAGGATTCTGTCTTAAAGTTGGATTTTTATACTAATAATTTTTATAATAAAAAGTTGAGCTCAATATTTAGAAATGAATGATAGTTACCCAGAAGAAGGGGATTTTAATTAGCAAAAGAGTAAGACGTAGTGATGTAAGAGAATGTTTGGTACGATGTATTTTTCTCATGACTAGAGTTTAAGCATGAGAAGGCTCATAAGAGACTTTCCAGAGACAGTTTAGAAACAGATACTGTCATGCTCCAAAGTGTGGATTTTATATTGTAGGTAAGATTTTCAACTTGGAAAGAAGGATGATCATTTTTTAATTTTTATTTTTTGTTATTTTAAATATTCATACAATATATTTTGATCACATTCTTAGCACTTTCTATTTCCTCCAAGATCATTTCCCTCTACCCACCCAACTCCAAGCGTTTTTTTTTTCTCTTAAAACAAACAAAAAGAAGAAAAAAAAAGAAACAACTAACCAAACAAGCTCCCTAAAGTATGTTTTGTATTGGCTAACTGTTCCTGAGCATGAGACCTGCCCTGTTGATTGGTAGGTAGACCCATTGTCACTTTATTTGAGGAAAACTGATTTCTCTGTCCCAGAAGCTATCAATTACAAAAAGCATCTTGTTTAGGGATGGGACTTTGTGTCTACCTTCCCTTCTCCATTCTGCCATTTTGTTCACTTCAAACATGCGCACCATTCTATCATGGTCTGTGTGAGTTAATGTGTCCATCAGCCCTTGTTGTATCTGGAAAATGTTTCCCTGGAGACATTGAACAACTCTGGTTCTTAAGATCTTACCTCCTCTGCCTTTTGACAGATCCCTGAACTTTGAGGAAAGGGGAATGATATAACAACATCCTATTTAGGGATGAGAACTTTCAGAGGTTTTTACTCTCTACACACTGTCCAGTTGTAGATCTCTGTATTAATTACTTCAAGAAGCAGCTTCTCTGCCGAGGGCTAAGCAGTGCACTAGTCAATGTCATTAGGAGTCATATTCTTGCTGTATTCACTTAGCAGAATAGTAATAATAGATTGTCACCTAGGGCCTATGGCCTGTCTAGTCTCAGTTCCTTGATCACTTTAGCAATATCAAATATGGGCTCTGTTTTATGCAACAAGCCTTAAATCCAGTTTTAAAAATACTGGTTTTTACTCCCATAATATTTATGCTACTATTGCAGCAATGAGTGTATTTTTCAGGCAGGTTGCTGCTATTGGAGGTCCTACGGTTCATAGTGGAGTGAGATTGATGGTTACTTTAGCATAAATAGTACTTTCCAACACTATGATGTTAGTAGGGATAAAGCTTGTAGTTGAGAACCAGCTCAGTTTCTCCATGTACAGTGATAGAAGCATGATCTGTTGTTATTGTTTAGAAAGATGAATTTGATGACAGTATGAAATATGATTTTTCAGAAAACAAAGCTCGGAAACTATTTAATGTCTGTTTTTGTAGTGAAATCAAGGAGTGATGAGGGCTTAAAAGAAGATAGTGATACTTGAAATAAAGACAGGGGATTATATGAAGAATATTTAGTGAAGGGCAATGGTTTTAGTTAGAAATCAGAAGCAGGGAAGAATCTGTAAATGAATTTAGATGCTTACAGTTGATTGAAGTCTTCAGAATTGAAAAATCTGAAAGTTTGAGAGAATAGTTAAGAATAGAGTAAACACAAAGCATTGGATAGTGAGTTCTAGACTCAGTATTTGCTGCAGCAGTAAATGCATGAGGATAGACTTAGGCTGAATGGACCTGCCTCTGCCTCTCTCTACTGCTGGGAAGGTGTGCACCGTCACCACCTAGCTATTTTGCAGAAATCTTTTACAGAGTTTGTCAATGGATTCAGTCACTGGCTCCAACTGATCCCAACAGACCCAGATAACAACGAGTACCTCAAACATGAGTATTTATCAACCCATATCCATGGATTGATACTCATTTTAGAAGATTGTTTTCAACATTTTTATTTACAAATATTACACATATACTGTTCCTGTCAGGGACATGGAACAAGTACTTTAGTTAAGATTAAAGCTATATAATAGCTTGGGTTGTAAAAATTGTTCACATAAGAAATCCAAAGTAAATAAGAGTGATTGTTACATTGCGGTCTTCAATGAATGAACTAAGTACATATAGGATAGCAGTATTGAGTGACTTCATGGTGTGTTAACTCTGGCTGTGGGATTCAGCAAAAGTTCCAGTCTAGTAGAATGTCATAAATATTTTTTATCATATTGCATAGCCACACTAGGAAAAAGACCAAGAAGATGAAATTGTGATACAGACATCTTACTTTAACTTTACTAAAAGAACTCCCTTCTAAAGTTGAATCTTTTAATCTCTGTGTATCGATAAGTATGTGCGTGTGTGCGTGCATGCACGAGTGCAGTGCAGAGGCCAGAAGAGGGTATCAGGTTCCCTGGGACCATGGGTGTTAGAAATGAACTCTGTTTCTTTTCAAGAGCAAAATGCCCATGATAGCTTAGCCATCTTTCCAGTCCCATAATTTTTTTAAAGTTACTTGTGCTTCCTAAACCAAGACATGGATAATATAAATTGTTTACAAGAAACTCTTATTCATATAGAAAAGGGAGAATTACTGACTCAGTAATGGCAATTATTACCCACATGTAACCACTGAACACTTGCAATGTAAATGTCTCTATGTTGGAAATATTTTGAATCTGTTAGTTAAGATTAGATAAATTAATTTCAACTTATTAATACTACGAATACTCAGAGTAAATATAGACTTATATATTTTATTTTTATTGACCAGGTTGCCCTTATTCTTGCTTTATGGGAAAAGCTATTGAGATTTTCTTTAAGAGTTGAAGTGATTATGTCTCAAATTTCTAGCCAAAATAAATGAAGTTTCAATTTGAAATTAAATAAAGTATGATTTAATAATGAACAACTTCATGGTGGTGATGTTGGTTGAGGCTGCTTGTTGGTTCCCAGCCACCCAGCCCTGAAATAATGACACAGAAACTGTATTCATTAAATCACTGCTTGGCCCATTAGCTCTAGCTTCTTATTGGCTAATTCTTTTAATTTAACCCATTTTTATTAATCTGTCTATCGCCTCGAGACTGTGGCTTACTGGGTAAAGTTCTCAGAGTCTGTCTCTGGCGGAGGCTTCATGACTTCTCTCTGACTCTGCCTCCTTTCTCCCAGCGTTCAGCTTAGTTTTCTCCACCTAGCTCTGTTCCCCCATAGCTCTCCTGTAGGCCCAAAGCAGTTTCTTTATTAACCAAGTAATCACAGCATACAGAGGGAAATCTCACATCAGTGGTGATACCATAATTAAATATGAATTCTAATTTTTAGATTCTAAATCTTCACACTACCTACTATGAACTTATAAAATACAAATGAAATGCCACTACTCTAGCTAGATGGCTTAAGAAACTGTCTTCATTATTTTGTATTATACTTTTATATTTGAATCTGGTTTTCTAAGAACCAAACAACTTAAGTTTCTTGTCTTTATAACCAGCTTTTAGATGCAGCCTTGATTTTTTTTCTATGATCCATAAGTAAAAGATAATAGAGAAGTAGCCATTGTTTTCTTCTTTTGAACAGCATCCAAGTACACCAGGGCTAATAACAGAACTGAAAGAGACCGAATAGAACTTCTCCAGGATGCAGAACCTCTGGATTTTAATGCAGAGACATTCACTGATGATTCTCTGGAACCTGAGTCAGGAAGGTAAGTTCTCGTTGTGTCACTTGACTATAGTGTGCCTCTGAAATTTTAATACTGCATTGAGATTGAAAGGGCTGGAGAGACTGCTCAGTGGTTAAGAGCACTGCCTGCTCTTAAAAAGGTCCTGAGTTCAATTCCTAGCAACGACATGGTGGCTCACAACCTTCTGTAATGAAATCTGAAGCCCTCTTGAGGAAGAGACCTGGTCAGTTGTTCTCAGAAACAACTAGATTCATATTTAGACCATGAAACTCAATATGGACAAGTTCAACAGAACTGCCTTATATGGGCTGCCTATGCATGCTTCAGCATTGCCAGGCATAAATTTCAATTTCATTGAGATTGAAAACAAAGATGGTTAAGCATGAAGAAAAAATATTGGGCTTGGTGGGAGTATGCTTGACTGGTATGCACAAGGCCCCAATTAGATGCATAGCAAGAGAAGAAAAAAATTCCCTCTTCACTGTTAATTCAAAAATTTGAAGTAGCATTTAATCCCTTTTTTGTTTTTGTTTGTTTGTTTTTTTCTGAGACCAAGTCTCCACAGTCCAGGTTGCCTTCTAGCTTGCTGAGTAGCCAAAGATGATTTTGATCTGATTCCTTGCTTTCACCTCCTATTACAAAAATGCACCACTGCACTCAGTTTGTCTAGTACTGGGGAGTTCATCCCAAGAGTTGTGTATGCTAGGCAAGCATCTACCAACTAAGCTATATAGGTACTTAGCACTTGATACCTGTTTATACTCTCTAGTTTATATTTTTAAAAATTATGACATTCTGCCAAGTGTGATGACATCTGCCTGTAATCTTAGCATTTGAACAACTAAGACATGAGGAGCAAAATAAGTTTGAGGCCACATGAGACCACATAGTAAATTTCATGCCACAATCAGAAATACAGTGATTTCTGCTGAAGAAAAACAAAGACCAAACAAAAAAATTATATCATTCTGTAGTTATTACTGAAATAGATATCTTTATGTAACAGTAGTGACATTAGAAATAAGAAAGAATTGAGACAGAGAACAAAGAATCATGATTTTATTTATATCTCTATTTAACAGTCCCATTTATGGAATTCATTATCGTTAGCCATTATCTGTATATAGATAATGTCTTTTGATGTCAGACCTAATATAAACATTTTAACAAAGTCTTTTACTGCAAAAATTCTTACTGGATTAATGTTCTCAAAGGCTCAATAATTTGCCTGGGGTCACACAGTTTATAAATAAGAAATCAGATATTTTAACTCTAGTACTTTGACCACAAAACCTATGTATTCAGTTGTTTTGCTATGAAAAATAGTAAAACAAAAAGCATAAAAACAGAACTGCTATAATACCCAACTCTGCCATTGCCTATGTCCGGAAGGCATATATGTCCGGAAGACTTAAATGGCCATACCAAACACACTCATACATCTGTATCTATTGTTAATTATTAATAGTAGCTAAGACATGGAGCCAACCTAAATGTCCACCAACAGATAAAAGGTTAAAGAAAGGTGATCCATATATACAACGAGATTTTATTCAGCTATAAGGAAAAGTGTAAACATGACTTTGCAAGAAAATATTTGTAACTAAAAATCCTAATAAATGAAAAAACCAGATATAAGAGGAAATAAAGTAAGAAGGGGACTGTGAGAGAAAAGGAAATGAATGATCTTAAGTGGTTTGAAGAGATAAAAAGGAGAGTGATGGCCTACCTGTGAAAGCAGAAGGAAAGACTGCTTGTGGAGAGGAAGGGGATCAGGAAACAGGGAACAACAGGGTTGGGAATAACTGAGGAAGGGAATGAGTATGAGTAAAACATGATTGTGTGTGTCTGTGTGCGCACGCGCCATAAGGAAACCATTACTTTGTGTGATAACTTCAAAAATAAAAACATAAAAATATCACACATGCTAAAAGTGTTTAGTATATTAGTGCCTATAAATAGCCAAATCCTTGGAATACTCTATATTTAACAATTAAGTGTGGCTATTTATGCAGTCTCCTAAATGTGTTTTACTTCCCCCCTTTTGTTTATGTCCTTCACTCTATGATATATATATAAAATCAGGCTTCAAAGCAGCTGCTGGTTGATTTACATTTACATCCTTTTGGATTATAATTTGGGAGATAGGATCTACTTTTGGCGATTGAATAAGTTTTACAGTTATTACAAATTTTATGGTTACTTCCTTTTAGTGTTTTCTCACATTTCTTTTCTCTTGTTGTTTGATATTTTAGATCACTTTTGTATGTTTACTTTTAGGTATCAACCTGGTGGGCGATATCTCTCCATGTCTTCCAGCATAATATTTGAAGATATCTAAAGTTTGAAGAAATTCATGGCTCAAGTAACCAAGGTCATCACATCAGCTCAGCCTTTATGAACATGATTGTGCCCTACAATTCCTCTGTACTGTTCGAGAATAGTAAGGATAACAAGAATGGCACTGAAAACGGATCACATCTTAAGAATACTAGGTTATTTATTGATTAGAGTGTCATCTTTTCTGATAGAATTTGTTGCTTACCATCTGAAGTGTCTGCCTCAGAAGTGAGTTAAGTGGAAGGGTTTAATTCATGATAAACAGAACACAGCTGGTTTCAACTTAATTTTTTTCCGGAGTGTTCTTTTAAAGTCCAAGGAAGCCTGAAGTCATACTAAATACTACAATTTTATAAATGTAATTTAAATTTGTTCAACTTATATTTCCCAAAGAAGTGAAAGTGAACTGAGACCTCAGCTAATTACTGTATTTACAAAACCTATGTCTTAAAATAAGACTTTCTTATTACCCGTAAATGAATGTAAACAACTCTACTTCCGATCTGTGTACAAATTAGTGGGATTTTGCATGTAAAATTAGGATTATTCTTCAATTGATGGTGTTAGTGTCTTTAGCATGTGTATTCTAACTGGGTGATGTATTCTTTTCATTCCTTATGGTAACTGGATCTTTTTATGGTTTTGATATTCATTTCATTTCAGAGAAAAATACTCACCTTTAGCATTTAGCATAATGACTTGACACTGATCATCCCAGCCAAAAAATCGTAAATATTAATGGTGAATTATTTATTCACAGAGAGACCCCCAAATTCTATAATACTTAAAAGATACCTGTTAATACTTTTTAAAAAGAAAATGTCTGGCTATTCTGGCTATTCAGAAGTAAAAAGAAAAATAATCCATTTGTAATTATTGCTAACACTAAAATTATAGCTTAGGAAAAACAGAAAAATGTATTAGAATGGAAATATGTCATAATAATTTCTTTGTTAAACATGGTTGTTATTTTAAATTGATTGTTTCAACCTTTGCATTTAAGCCAGAGTTGGGTATTATGTTTTAAAGAGCCAGTGCTTCATTGTAATGTGAACATGGTTGAGTGCAACATGTTTGCAGGTATTGTTTTATGGTCCTGAAATATTTGTGTCTCTTTACAGAATCCATTCTGCGTGAATGACCAGACTTAAACTTGTCCAGACAGTCTTGCACCTATCTTCCTTGCAGTTATACCTAGTGTTCAAGTGTGATATTGTCATATGTTAAGAATGTAGTTCTATGTGGGTACTGAAAGGAAGGATGTATCATCCTCATTATTTTTCTTTTTTAATGGTTGCATTTTTGATAACCTTTCAAATAGATCCCCTTTTAAACAATTATCAGTAGATAGATTTATTCTGAATTGAAGGTTGCATAGCCTGCTTAATTCAAGGACACATAATGCATATAACCTTTTACTGTGAAATGAGGCCAGAGGGCAGTTGATCAGAGCAGTGATGATGTAATGCTATTTATAATTTTATGATTGGTTCCTGGAATACCTTGGGCAGATCATGGAACCTTTCAGTGCCTCAATTTCTTCATTTTCAGAATGAAGGACATTTGCTACTTACCTAGTGATCTACCTCACAAAACTGTTGTGAGGGGGTTAGGTTGATGATTGTGTGCTGGGGTTTCTCCTGGGCTATTATGTTTGTTTGTACTTTTCTTTAAATAGTACTTTGAAGGTGAAAGGGATGATTACCACAGTAAGTAAGGGGTCTTTGAGAAGCTTTGAAGTCCCCAAAGCAAAATGAACTAATTTGTCTAAAGTTGCTGAAATAGTTTCATCATTTGTTCTGTGGATTTACTTTAAAATAATTTTTCTTAAATACATTTTTTGTTAAATTTTCTTCTTAATACTCAGATGCTGTTGTTGGAATAGAAGGATAAAAAGAGAAGAAATGTCCAACTTTACAACTAACTTTGCTAATGCACTAAACAAATTGATAGAAATGTGTTAAAGGTGTTTTCCTTTAAAGTTACAATAATAGAAACATATGTGTATAAATACATATGCATAGATGTATATGTAGACATATGCTTCACAAATACTGGGCTTCGTTATGGCATTTGAGTTATTTCCACAGTGAATTTTTATTGTTTCTGTGATCCAGAGTGTGTTCACAAAGAGTTTCTCTTACAGGATTTTGTATGTGACCATATAGGAAAGTTACTTTGCTGGGTAAATTTGAGTTTAGAAGGCAATGATTTCATACTGGAAGACTGAGTTTATTTCTGAGGAATTAAGTTAATATTTATTAAGATACTTTGTGTAAAGCATTGATAGTTTGCACAATATTTTTATTTTTTAAGACCCTTATAACATGTAAAGATACTGTCACGAAAATATTATTGTAGAGTTCATATGCTTTATGTGCAAGATTTTTTTCTTAAAGAAAGAATTATTTCTGGTACTTTTTATGTCTTTCTTACATGTTAAGAAATATTTTATTAGACTTACCTAAAATTTTGTTTTGTTTGAGACAGAGTCTCATGTAACCCAGGCTGCCCTTGAACTGTCTGTATAACTGAGGATGACCTTGAACTTCTGATCTTTCTCTTCCACCTCTCAAGTTCTAAGATTAAAGACATGTGCCACAGCTCTTAAATCAATATTTTTTAAAATAATTGTTAGTTAAGAACATTTAACAAACTAATAATTCAAAATAAGTATTATAGGAAAAAACTATAAATTTCAAAAATCACGTATATGTATTGTTAATTTACTTTTTACAACTTCGTAGTCATTTTATTAATTGTACATTTTTGTACAATTATTTAAATAACAATTAAAATATAAATGCAATCATAAATATTTGCTACTGTGTCACATTCATACAAGAGTTTTAGCATAATTTCATCCCAAAAGAGGGTCTCAATTCACACAAATGGTATGAAAAGTTCCCATCATAAAAAAAGATCAAATCCATCTGTCTAAACATCTAAAGAGAAGTCTTGTTGCTTGGTATGTTTCTGGCCTCTATCATTTAAATCATCTGATCTAAAATTTAAACATAATGTGTGTCCAAATTAAGTGTAGGTGGGAAAGTCACTCTGTCTTTTAAAGTTTTTTTTTAGCATGCTAATGGACAGATTTCATTTATGTTTATTTACAGACCATTTTATATTTTTGGTAGGTTTAAGGAATGTTTTTGATAGCATATTGATTACTATATTAAGGAGGAAATAAAACGAATAGTTACAGTTCCGGTTATAAAGTAAGATTTATTCTTAGAATTTGAATGTCTGAAAAATAACAAAGATGAAAGTGTATTTGTACTAAGAGACAAAACAAGTCCTTGAGAGTCATAGCACACTTGAATTTTCAAAGTGCAATGGACTGTATACATTGAACTTTTAAAAGCTAAGAAGTAGGTATAGTTAGGGTTTGCCTTTCTCTTGTGCCTCCCACTCTCTGATCCTCCCTCCTTTCCCGCCTCTTTGTATCATTTGATTTTCAGTATGCTGACAGAGTTTTCTCTTTTGTTTGTTTTATGTATGCAGTTATTTTGATGAGCAGTACACTCAAAATGAATTACTTCTGACTTCAAATCCCATTACTTGAAATAGCAGTATTGTACCTAAGGAATAAAACAGGCTGCTGAACCAGTGGACAGTGTCTGAATAGACATGTGCTGTGTGTTCAGTACATTTTCTTCTAGGGGACAAAGGAGGGCACTACAGGAGAAATCATTTTCACTGTAAAAATTTGTATATTATCATAAAAAGGAACTCATAAAAATGTTCATGTTTAAAAATGGAACAAAGTGTTGCAGGGGGCTTTGTGATTTTTTTTTTTTTTGTATAGTACTTCCAAATCAGTTGCTTTTTGTAGCTAAAGACTTGGAAGATTAGGCAGCTTTAGCCCCATTTCCAGCTCCTGAATCCCAGCCCTGTGGTGCAGGCACTATCCTCCTTTCCACTGCCAAGGAGGCATGCTCTCACCTTTATTTGCTTCCATATTAGCCAGCATAACAACAACAACAAAAATTTTATTTTTAAAGGATTTATCCATTGAGATCAGGTGAGGTATTGTTATAATTTAAATTTTTCTTAATAAAGTAAGACTTGGTATAATTCTGCATTCACTGTCCAAAAAGATGTTTTGGTTTCTTCCCCCAAAACCTTTTCTTTTGCAGGTATGTTGATTACAAATAATTTTGTAAAAGAATTTTACTGTGTTTGGTACAAATGAATAACTGGCTGTGCAAATAAGTAGCTGGCTGTGGCAGACATATATGAAGCAAGTGCACAGCACGTTAATGTGCAGAGCATTTGGAGTTGGTATCACGGCATAAATCTTCTGTCTTTATCAAAGGAATACTGGCTAACCTCTTCCCTGTTTGGCATGCCAAGTTGTAGGGAAGAGACTGTGTTATTTATTTATTTTTTTAAACAATCCAATGGATTTGTTTTTCTTTGTATTTTGGGAACAATTTGAAGGATTATTATCATTTTAGAAGATAGAGAATATATCTATCTTTTAAATACTATAACCTAATATATATAAATTATAGTATTAAAAAGGACAAATAGCTCTAATTATTGATGTTATTTCCTGGTATTTAATTTTTATAAATGTTTTTGTAACTAATTGTAGTATTGCTTTTAAATAGTTTTAAAGTCATCCATAAATAAGTTCTGACCCAAACTTACTTAGTACAGTATTCTGAAGTACAGTACTCTGATGTGAATCTGAAACATGCCTGCATTTTCTTCATTTCTTCATATGTATGTATACCAGTTCCCAAGAAAAGCATACAGTAAGCCTAGTTTCTACATTGCATTGATAAAGAGCTTGGTATTTTGCCTTCATATAATTCAGTTGTCTAGATGAAATAGAACATAAGTCTTTTCAAATTGTATCCAATCACAATTTTCAAAATGGTAACTTCATTTTTGGGGTGCATGATGCCAAGATTATCTTTAATCAGCCTTTATTACTGAATGTGTAACAATGGATGTTTTCCTACCTGGCCAGTAGGTTGTAGATTTAACTATTTTTCTGTAGATTACCACTACATTTTCAAATCTATATTTGGAAAAAAACTACAAAGTGCTATCAGTAAGTAAGTTAGCATCTTTGGCCTTATCTATGCATAATGTTCCTTAGTTTGATTTTGACAAACTCATTGACTCACAATTTCTTTGTATTATTGTAAGTGACTGTGATGTAATGAATTTTTCAATGTGTTTATATGATTCATTATTAAAATATAGGATATTGTATAGCTTTGCATGAAATAAACTACATTTCTATGAGCTACAATTGCTGGTTATTTATGCATCTTACCTCCATTGAGATTAAACTGTTTTGGGACAGTCTAGATATTTTTTATTCCTTATAATTCACTGTCAAATTTTATAGAACATTTAAAGATGAATAATTAAACAGATATACACTTAGTAACTGCTCTGTCTTTTGTTTACAATGAAAACAGAATTAAACAGAAGCTTTATGTGCATGGTAGTAACAGTGAAAATAGAGAAGCAATAGAAGCTTAACAGAACTAATGTTGGGTGTTTGAAAAACATCAGTAAAACTGATCAAACTTAACAGGTTCCTTTCCTGTGTGCCAAACATAAACAACTGGGATTTGAAATTTAAAATACAATAGCATTTATATTACTCCCCAATTCAAAATCTAACAAAAGCTGTACATGATATATTTGAGAAAAAATAGAAAATTGATGAAATTGAATAACTAAGTAAATGAAGAGATAGTCCATCTTTTTGGCTTAATAGTTTATAGGTGTGGATTTTTTCCTAACTGGACCTACATTACATATTCAATGTGG